AATGTGAAAAGGCCCTGGGTGTGTATGTTGACAATGAACTGAAGTTCTCGGGCCATTACGAGAAGAAGGTGAATCAAGCAAATAAATTATTAGGTCTTATAAGAAGGTCCTTCAGATATCTAGACGGTCCATCCCTCGTAACAATCTTCAAGAGTGGGTTGCTTCCCCGCCTGGAGTACTGTCACCCCATCTGGTCCCCGAGATATGCTAGGGACTATCAGTTGATTGAAACTGTCCAAAGGAGAGCCACTAGGCTGGTGCCTGCACTTCAGCACCTCAGCTACTGTCACATGTCGGCCCACACCGCTGTCTAGGATTGGCTAATTAGGTCATGCCCGAGAACGACCAATGTCAATGAGGGTGGTTCACGGCCTGTATGCTTATATTAATTCTCTAATGTTTTGATTTACGATGTTTCTTTATATCAGTGTTATTTAGTTTTGGTTATTAAAACATTATGTAAGAGCCATTTTCTGTTTTATAGGGTATAAGGTGTAAAACTTTTAATGTATTGTATTAGGATTAGTTGGCAACCGAGCCATATTTGTGTGGTGGTGGTGATGGTCAAGACAGAGCAGCGTCAGCCACAGACTGAACCGGACAGCAGGGAGAACCAGGAACTCCAGGCCTGGTATACACATGCCGACGTGGGGAACAAGATAGCCGCTGAGTTGTGCGTGAAGTAATTGGAGATATTTAGACATGAAAACTTGCTCTGTGAATGTAAATAGTGTAATATATGTAATTTTACATGACAAGTTTCCATAAGCCCTTCCTCTCGGTCTGAAAGTCCTGTGACAACTGACAGCTACCCAGAGAGAATAGAGCCGCCCCTGCAACTGCCTAGTTCATACTACAGATGGGCAAGGGGGGACCTAATTGAGTTGTATAAACATCTCAAAGGGCACTACTCAGTTGAGTATCCATACCTGGAGCTGGTGGACGCCCACCCCACAAGGGGTCACAAATCAAGGTTGAAGAAGCCGCAAGTCCAGAAAACTGTGAGGGCAAAAACTCTTTTGGAGTGAAAGTTGTGAACTCTTGGAACAATCTGCCAGAGTGTTGTGCTAGCACCGACTGTGAGCTCTTTCAAGATCAGACTTGACCAACACTGGAGCAGGTTCAGATACATTCAGGAGCCATTGCATGCCCACTTCTTGGCAACAGTGTGTAACAGAGTCGTGACCGAACGCCCAAGCGGCTAATGAGTCAATCAGTGGCAAAGAGGATAAAAGTAAAAAGTATAACTACAAATTCTTGACCTGATAATAACCCCAGCTCACCAACAGACCACTCTTCAGGAACTTGCAACTCTCCATTTGCCAGTAATGTTGCCCACCTTAACTCAAACCCAGACTACTCAAAGAACTATGGGAATAAGATCTCAGGAATTGCCACCTTAAGCCCTTATAGTTTACCCTCATCTGAAGTGGCTAGACAGCCCAAACCTCCCAAGCGACATTATGTGATCCATGTTAAGCAGCTACTGCCCAATTATGATTATATAGGAGTAACTGACATGTTCAGCACATGTAGACCAATCACAGCAATTGGTATGAATTATCAGGAGAGAGAACCAGGTTTGGAGGCTTGGGTCTCTTTCTCGAAACATGAAGAGGCCTTAAGTGCATCTCAAGCCATCTTCACCATGGAAGATGACAATAGGACTCTAAAGGTAACACTTGTTCCAAAAATCCCAACAGACCTGGACATTAATTGTTCAGCTGATTGGAGAACTTGTACCTCTACACAAGCTCAAGCAAGGCAATCAACACAGAGACACACCCCAAAGCACCAAAGTGGTTGATTGTAACTGCCAGGGCTGAGAGATGCAACTTCATACAAATGGGTAGGCTTCTTCAACGTAAAGTTGGAGGCATCAACAAGACTGACATGAGCCGTTTTAGGAAGAACTTGATCCTTGTTCATGCCAAGTCGACACTCGGTGTTCAATGCTTAGCATGATGAGACTGGAGCCTGGGACATTAAGACATGTAAATTTTAGTTACACCAAAGGAATCGTTTTCGACACTGATCCGCATGATTTTTCAAATGAGGATATTCTGATATATGCAAGGACTGTATGGAAAACAAATAAAGTACCTAGGACAAAGTCGGTGATAGTCTAGCATTTATTGACTCTGTCTTACTCTCTCACTTGACATGTGACAAGGCAATAAGATTAACAGTGTACCCATACAAACAAAGACCCATGCACTGTTACAACTGCTATGGTTTTGACCACTCGGCCAACATCTGTAAGAAAAATAAGATTTGTGGCACCTGTTCCGGTCCAGAACACGATATGTGCTCATTAACACCTAAGTGTATTAATTGTAAAAAAAGACTCAGAATCTGCTCTCTATATGTCTCATGCAAAACACATTAGCATTGGCCATGCTAATAAAGGCAGGAAATGTGCAGCTTTGGTTTCTGATACGGGTCCTGCCTCCAGGGGCAATGCCGCGCCCCTGCAAGCTCAGCAACCTTCCATCCCTTCCTCCCAAGCTGTTCCTCAGCCAACCTCCCTTACCAACTCCTCTACTAACCTCCCTAACCCCATCCTTAACAGTGGGGCCTGGCCCAGCTACTCAAGTTGCTCTCATCCCATTACCCACATTCGGAAACCCTCCCTTTAGAAGGATTTTTTTTTTTAAGGGGATTAGCCCAACCGGGCACAGGTCACTGACCCACATCAGGGTCTGGGGGCGAAAATATAATAATAATAATAATAATAATAATAATATCTATTATTATTATCATTACAACAATTAATAAAATTAATAGCAAATTAATAAAAATAAAAATAAAATAATAATAATAATAATAACCTATCAAGGAGGCAGTGCTCCAACCTACTGACAAAGATGGCTTCAGTTCACCAAAGAACCGAAGAGGCCTTTAACACCTTCAATGTCTCCTTTGGCTCGGAAGAATAAGTTTGAGGCACTTCCCTCAGAGGACTCCCTCAAACCCTGACCAACTCCCAAGCTAATTTAGAAGCAGATTCAGTGAGATCAAAAGCCAAACAGGTACATGGAGATTAAAGGACTTACTAGGGACAGTTGCCTCAAAGACGTTTGCTTACACGTAACGGTGTCGCATATATATATATATATATATATATATATATATATATATATATATATATATATATATATATATATATATATATATATATATATATATATATATATATATATATATATATATATATATATATATATATATATATATATATATATATATATATATATATATATATATATATGCTTCTTATAAGGCCTTAAAAATAAAATGTATACGAGGAAATAATTTGTGTAATTCATGTTTATCATACATCAGGAAGCTTCCTCACACATTGGCACTGCTGGACATGTCCTTGGTAAATCACACAATGGTTCAAAGTATTGAAACCCTCAGGAATCATAATATGTGGGGGTCGATTTGTGCAGTGTTTTTGCTTTTCATTTTTGTTAGTCTTTCCAATACTGTATTACTTTATCTTCGAGAAATGTCATTATCCTCGTGGGAAACCCTGAAAAAAGAGACTTAAAGAGGATGAACAGGAGAACAACCCACATCTCACCTCAGCTATGCTGTTAGCTGTGGTGACCAGGACGGCCAAAAAGTGATAGGACATTTTAGTGTTATAGAGTAAGGAAGTTGATTAATTATATTGGTGATAAACTCTTGAGTTAGTGTATTTTTGGAATACCAGATGTGAATAAATTGGCAAAAGGTGTGTATAAGATGGGGTATGCCAGAGTATATCAGTTTGAATAACTGGTCTGGTGTATATAAGGAGAGGAGTATGTTAGATTGTGTTAAGTTTTGCCTTACCTTGGGTGAATGGAGACTGTTTGGGAATTACTAGGTAAGGATGTATCAATATATTAATTAATTGATTGATGTATCTTAACCCATTAAGCGTCATCGCCATTTTAAAATGGCAGAACGGCATTGTCATTACAGCGTCACCACCGTTTATAAACGCCGCTGTTTTTATGAATCTCCCGCACTTACTAGTGACATCTTATAGCCTAAATAAGTGAAAATGGGACTCGTGGTAACTCTCTCAATTATCCCGCTATCATGGGCGCACCACTGGGTTGTTGGGAGGGGAGGAGAGGAGAGGAGAGGAGGGACGGCTGGCCTTATCCTATATTAATCCCTCCCTCGTTCACTCTCCTGACACAGACACACAAGCATGCCACACAGCATATTCATTTCATATCTAACTTACAAATATAATCATAATGGTTTAGTGACATGAGGTAGTGTGAAAAAGAGACTAATGACAACTGTCCCTGGTGGCATGAGGGAGTGTGTTGACACACATGTATGGCTAGAGGTGTTGCCAATATCATGTTATTTTTTGACCAAGTGTTTATATAAATAATTTGTTATAGTTTCTTGAGAAGTCATTTAAATCAATATAAATAATTCAAATTTATGTAAGCAGGTAGAACACAATAACAAAATCCAATTTATTGAAAGAAAACAAAAATATAGCATTACCTATTTATATGTTCAGTCATTCTGTGCCAGGCAGTGAAGGGGTGGTGTTGATGTCATGTGATTCTTGTTGTTTTATGTAAAAAAAAAAAAAATCATGGCAAAATAAATTAATAAAACCTTATATTTTTTTATTTATTACATAGTACTCCATTTGTTTGTTGAGTAATGAGAGGAAAGAAATAAAATATAGAAAATAATTTACATTCCTATTTGGCTTGCTTGCCTGAGAGGCCCTAGGGAATTCCCTTTGACTCATGCACACATATTGATGCGTAACAGGAAATTTAAATGCCCAGAGCTCAAAATCATGCAATTTTTCATCCCTTTGATAACAAAATACACCATTTAACTCACTCAAAAAATATAAATAAATAAATACATAATAATAATTTGGGGGGGATCTGACAGGACGAATTTTAACAGAACTGGTGGACGCTTAATGGATTAAAGACTGAAGTTGTGCTATTTTTATATTACAGTTATCCTGCAGCATTGGACATGGTTGCCTCAGGGAAGATAAATGTCAAAAAGCTCATCACTCATCGCTTCAAACTTGAAGAAGCAGACAAGGCATTTGAAACTGCTCGCACAGGTGCTGGAGGTGCTATCAAAGTTATGATATCATGTGAGTGATTGTTTTCTTGTTAACTCGGGATTAATCTAAGTATTATCCCCTTTGAATATGAAATGATAGAAATCATCTAATGTTGGGTCTACTGTTGTACTCCCGATTGTTTATTGCTTAGAAATTAACATGAAACAGATGTAATTATAAGTACAGTTCAACATAATTCCAGTACAACATAATTCCAGGTATCCAGACAAGTGGTAGATTCAAGTAATTGGCACTAAAATTAAATAATAATTAAAATAAAAATTCCTCTAAATTCTGCTAGAATCTTAAGTTTGAATATCACATGCAACAGGGATGTGCTGCCATATTTATTGCTTTGATAAACAAAATCAATACATAACCAATCATAAAATACAATAGCACATATTTTATGTACAAAAAATGGCTCATTTCCACACTCAAACCATCCTCTGGGCAACACAACACAGTTTCATGCAGTCAACCAACTGACTTAGACGTGTGACTGGCACTGTGTGTGTGTGCGATGATGTCACATCAGGAGAGAGTGCAGCCATAGCCCGGTAACCCACCGCCTCAACACACATTCACTTCCCCGTTGTAAATCGGGGAGGAGCTGTACTGTATTATTGCAATCATTTCTCCACAACTTAATAGTTTCATTACAAGTAACAATATACTGTACGAGGTGGCTGGGCTGGTGAGTCGGCGACATAGTTATAGCCAAGGCCTTGGCTATAACCGCCTCCTCATACGTTCACTTCTCACACATACACTCTCATGCTCTTCATTTTTCTTATTTTATAGTTATATATTATATTTTCTTTATTTCTAAGCCACACCATTTATATATAGGGGGATAAGTGTTAAAAAAATCCATTTTTCTGAGACAGAATTTGTGAGGTCAGCCTGTAGCTGTGTATTGTAGGATTTATTGGGGGGGATCCTAAGAGCAAGGTTCAACTAACCAGAAAAAAACTTTATCCGACTTCTCTCAATCCCCGTAGGTGCTGGATAACTGGAATTCTACTGTAATTAATTGTTAAAAAATGGTTTAGCAAATTTTACTACTGTAAGAACATAATTCAACTAAAACAATAGTTAACATGAATTACTTGAATTTCCATGAACTAAAATTTACTAAAGTTATTATACTTTGTGTGTATGTGCATGGGTGCAATTTACAGTGTAACTTTCTGAAGTGATGAACTCAAAGTTGTCAAGTTGTTTATACAGGTATATACAGTACGTATATATATACAGTATATAAATATACATTATGTAAATTACCATTGATTATATACTTTGTAGTATTATACTTGAATGCTAAATAAAAGTTATAAGAATATAATTTTAAATTATTTCCTCAAAATACTACACCCACACACACTGTTAATTTAATAATATTTTTTTCAATATATGTATGTAGGGCTTGCTTTGTCTTCTGTGAACAGCAGCAAGCACCAGAGACTATACTGTATAGCCTTGGTGTCATTTTACAGGCAAATTTGGTTGTTTTAGGCACCCAGAATAACACAAATCACCAAAAAAATCACCTTGCAACATATAAAATCACTAGTTCAACATGGCAGCATTGACTGCAAAGAACTGAAAAATATAACTGAGAAAAAGGGAGTAGTTAGCCACTTTCATAAGATTTTTATCAGCACTCCACACATTCGTTTTTCATACGTAACAAAACCATAGAATTCTGCTGGTATACCATCATCAGTTAACCTTTTTGCTAAGGATACATTATATTTTAAAAATACAATAAAAATAGAAGAAACTTCTTTTAAAATTTTGTTTTCTTACAACCACATTCAGAAGATATATGCTGATTAGCTGACAACCATTGTAGAGATAAGACCAGTCACAAGTTATGCCTGAATCATTATCCTTGGTTTGAGGCTGAAAAGTAATATGGAATTTATAGATTTACATGAAATATGTATTAACATATACAGTAATATATCTGACAGCTGGAACAATTGGTACAGAACGTTTCCATGTTTGAGAGATTTCTGGGAATTGAGACGAATCCTTAAACCTGGAATTTTATTTACGGAATTACAAAAGTGAAGTTAAAGATAAGCAACTTGGCACCCTCTAAGGTGGAGTACTTAGTCCCACTTTGTTCAATGTTCTTATGAATGCATTATTAAATTCAATATCAGACAACCCCAGTACTATCACTATCAGCTATGCTGATGATATTCTTATACATTCTAAAACTCATTGTGAAATGCAAACCACCCTGAACCATGTGCATGCAGCCTGTGAGAACCCCAGTCTTATTATCTCCACTGTGTAAACTAAGGTGTTCAACAAACAAGCTGGTATCTGCAATTTGGCCCCTCCAAGTTCAAGATAGGTAACAGCACTATTGACTATGTCTCTTCTTTTAAATATCTTGGTGTCTCCGTCCCTTGTACCTTACCTGCCATACAACAGCTAATCCCCCAATGTACTGACAGACTGAAATCTCTTAGAAGTGTAGCGGGGTACACCACATTATGGTGCTAATATTAGAATTGTTAAAACAATGTACTACAGTACTACCTAGGTTATATAAGATCTCTGATTGATTACCATGCACCAACCCTGGTCCTTCGTGACAGGAAAGGCATTGAGAAGCTCGAAAAAATGCAAAATAAAGCACTCAGAATTAGCCTAGGATGTCCCATGAGCACTAAAGTACTTAATATGAGGAAAGAACTAGGTATACCCAGTGTCAAAGATAGAATAATTGAAGTCAACCTCATGATAGCCCTGAGGCTTTTGAGTGGTGATCCTGATAACATTGTTTCCTTAAAATTGTTAGAATGTATGAACCATGGGACTGGTAAATCTAAATGGATTCAAATAACAGCTACACCATCTGTACAGAGTTGAGACACGACAGCTTTTTCTTCCACCTTGGCGGACAGTTCCCTTCGATATCACAATACCGACATATCCGCCTAAAAGATTAATTATACAGAGTATTTTTCTCCAACACACTACCAAAGTGAGAGCTCTTGAACACATACACACCCTACAGACTGATGATAATATCACACAGACCATCTTCACTGATGGATCTCTTAACACCGCCTGTGGGAAGGCTGGAAGTGCTATCGGTTTGACTCAACCTAACAGTAATGCAATTGATAAAGGAGTTCGAATTAACAACTGGGCGTCCATTCTACAAACTGAATTAGTTGCCATACTCACAGCTATCAAATTCATTGAAACCAATGTTACTGACAGTCTCATCATCACTGACTCTCTATCCTCACTACTTGCACTTGATACCCTCAACTCAAGTTGTCAAGCGCTTGTCTCTGAAGCCAGACACAAATATGCGTACCTTGTTGACCGGGGTGTCAAGATCAAACTGTTGTGGATCCCCTCTCACATAGGCCTCAAAGAACATGACAGAGTTGATGCCCTCGCCAAACTCGCGTCTAACAAAGGCACTGTTGAATACATTCTGGGTCTGTCAAAAAGAACCCTTAAAACTGTAATTAGGAAGGAACTTAATTGATGAATTTGACGCAAGCAGACAGGTGCAAACAGGCACTAGTCGATCCATAGTCTACCATGATGAGATGTATCAAGTGAAACATGTATAGGGAGCAAGTAATAAGATCACTAGATTACATGATGTTGTAACTGCTAGACTAAGGTTAGGATAAAAGTACCTCTGGCAGTACGTTCCTCAAGCAGATGTAAACAAAACTAAATGTAAAGTGGGTGGCCAGACATATGGCCACACACTTGAACACTACGTCCTCGACTGTGTGAAGATATAACCTTTCAGGGACAGGTCCAAGCACACCGTGTGTGAAATGGCACAACACTTCATCACTAATGGCAAGATAGCCGACATATTAAGATTGTATTCACTTTTTTTCACTTAGTAGCTATATCGGTTCCCATGTATATAACCAAACATAAAATGTGTTTGAATACCTTCTCACACAAATGTAAATAACAAAGTGTGCGGCCAGACATACTGCTTCACTCTGCTGTACTCACGCAGTTGCGAATAAGTTACCCTTTATGTATAGAACTAAACAAAGAATTTAATTGAAATACTGTTTAAAATTCAATACCATAATATCCTGACCACGTGGGGTTAATTGTTCTAACCCTTTGTAAACCATACTGTGTAATCCTTTTGCGCTACCGCTCACAGGATGAGTATGGGGTGCACAATAAACTAGCTGCTGTAAGCGACAAAATTCAAAAAATTTCCACCCACTGTATCTCACTGACACTGCCTCTCTCACTCATTCTACTATGACTGTTATTCATGATACAATATTGTACAGTACTGTACACTTTTCATTATTCATTAATTAATAAAGATATGTTACTAGTTTTAAATCTTAGTGTACTGACACATTTTTGGGGTATATTTTGATCAGTTAGGGGATGCATCTTTGGGGCCGTGGGACAAATCTATTTTTTCCCATATGTTATGTGTTTCAATATGTATGGTTTTTGCTTATCACGATAGTTTTCTGTAATATAACCCCAACAATTATCGAGGATACATGTACAAAAATCACTAATTCAACATGGTAGCACTGACTACAAAAACTGAAGAATGTAATGTGCATTACAAATGGATAAGTGAGAAAAAGAGGAGTAGTTAGTCACTTTAATAAGATCCTATTATACAACACTTCACACATTCATTATCTATACGTAACAAAAACATAGAATTCTGCTGTTATACCATCATCAATTAACATCTTTGCTAAGAATACATAATTTATTAAAAATACAATAAAAGTTTAATAATTGACTTTAAAAAAAATTTGTTTTCTTACAACCACATTCAGAAGATATATGTCAATTAGCTGACAACCATTGTAGAGATGCGACCAGTCACTGAAATTATACCTGGATCATTATCCTTAGCTTGAGGCTGAAAAATAATAAGAAATTTATCAGTTTACATGAAATATATATAAATAAATACATAGTAATATTCCTGATAGTTGGAACAATTGGTGGAAAACGTTTCCATTTTCAAGAGATTTTTGGGTACTGAGACGAATCCTTATTCCTGAAATTTTATTTACAGAATTTTTTCGAGTCTAAGCTATGCATCTGGCATGGAGCACTGTTCCTAATAAAGATTACCGGTAACTGCAGTTGGACAGCCACATAACTGTATTCACTTATGGAAAAACAACTATACAGGTACAGTATGGTAAATAAACAAAATATACTGTACTGTACTCACCAGTGCTGTATACTGTACACACCCTCTGCACACTAGCCTACAGTAGGCACGGACTGTTCATTCTGCTATGTACTGTGCATACAGTACTTTCACACTATTCTAAATGTACAATATAGGTATCTCATTTAACAATGGAGTTATGTTCCTGAAAAACCTAGCATTAAGTAAAAGTATCGCTTTACAAGTGATAACACGGAGAATTGGTCTTCGGGGATTTTTTCATCTAAATACACTGTATTTATCGATAATTTGCTCGAATATTAATAAACTAAAGTACACTACAGTAAAGTAACACTCTCCAAGTCACTTCATAATGTCCAGCTTCACCTTCAAGCTCAAGGGCTTGTGGGAGAACTTGCCCTTGCCTGATGAGGTTAAACAGCAGCAAGCTTACCTGATATTTTTCCAAAGTTCACTCACTTGACACACTATATGAGTAGTCCGTATAATACAGGGTACACAATAAACCATTAAAGTCACAGCTATCACATTGGTAATAGTGAAGCACAGAAGACAAAAATCAAACGACAGGCAGTTAACACGTAATACAGTACACGGCATAAAGATGCGCAATTGGAGGACAGCATCGCATTTTCTCCCACTTCCCTCCCAAGTTTCTACGCCTTTCCATGACCCCAAATGGATAAATAATTATTTAAAAATTATTATTGGACAAAGGAAGGCTATCGGTAGGAAAATCAACCTTGGTGACGTTTACTTCTGAGATAAGAAAGGCAGAGGTAAAATGAACTGAAGGTAGCAATGGGGGCAGAGTCAAACCCTAAGGGTTTCTTCCAAATGTATCAAACTAAAACACGAGACAAGATTGGACCAATACATTTAGATACCGACAAACTAACTGATAACAATGGAAAAATTAGCAATAATCTGAAGATAATTTTCATCAGTTTTCACCACCAAAAATTTAATCATGATACCTGAGGCACCAACTATCTACAGAGATAGTGAAGTAAATGATTAAGCAAGATGGTAATGACTAGTAACAATGTTAGTAAAGAAACAGATAAACTAAAACCTTATAACTCGCCAGGTCCCGATGAGATATATGTCAGAGTATTAAAGGAATGTAAGGAAGAAATTAGTATGCCTTTTGAAAACTTGTTTAATATTGTCATTAAAAACAGGTGTAGTACCAGAATCCTGGAGGATAGCGAATGTGATACCGATTTTCAAGAAGGGAGATAGACTACTATCCTCTAACTACCATTAAATTAGTTTAACATCAATTGTAGGCAAGTTACTGAGAGCAATAATTTCAAATGCAATTCGAAATCAGCCTGAGAAACAAATTGATAAATGATTCCAAGTATGGCTTCATAAGTGGGCATTCATGTCTGACAAATCTACAGTATTATCATTCTTTTCAACTGTTTTCAAATCAGTGGATAACGGACACCATTATGATGTGGTCTACCTCAACTTTAACAAAGCCTTTGACAAACACAGTGGTCCCTCGGTTAACGAGCGCCTCGGTTAACGAGACTTCAGTTAACGATTTACCTTCCATAAGATTCTTAACTTCGGTTAACGAGCAATCCCTCGATTAACGAGTTTTTTACGAGCCGACTTCAACATGTTTACGCTTGCATTTGGCGGTCCACCAGCTGTAGTATTAGTCCGCCAATACAGTAATCGGTTTTAGGGCTTAAATTCCTTACTATTTTAGTAAATATCAATAAGTTTATACTATTCAATAATTTTAAAAGTTTAATATTAATTTTTTAGTCATTTTAACAATTATTGAACATAATTGAAGGTAAAGAAACTAGTTTCTGGCATGCCATCCAGCCTGTTAACACACCAGACAGGCGTTAGTCTCTTTCTGTTTTCAGTGGAGGTAACATCTTGCTTGAGACTCTCTTCAACTAAATGCTTTTTTTCTGTTTCCAAGCAAATTATTGGTCATTTTGAAATATATTTTACATATTGACAATATATAGGTAATGCAGTGCAGTGTTGATTTAAAGAAAATAATCTTGAAATACACCAAGAGAACTAAGATTTTATGGGTGAAATGGCGCCATGGGGTGACTTCTCTTCCACCCCAATGCCTTCTCTTCTTCCTTCTCCTCCACCCCCATTCTAATTCCCATCATCATCATCATCATCATCCAGGAGCCTTCTACATACACACCTCAAAGTAAGTGTACTTTTCTACCTTTTTTGTTGAATTTAGGCAATTTTCGGTGAGCTGGAACCAATTACCCAAAAACCCATTGAAACAATGGTTTCCGTTAACGAGCAACCTGCTGGAACGGATTGTGCTCGTTAACCGAGGGACCACTGTATGTAAAATGGAGGCTCATGAAATCGGAGGAGATGCAGTACAGTGATCCCTTGGTTAACGAGATTTCGGTTAACGAGTTACCTCCCATAAGATTCTTAACTTCGGTTAACGAGCAATCCCTCGATTAACGAGTTTCTTACGAGCCGACCTCAACAAGTTTTCGCTTGCTCATGATTAATATAACATCTTCAGTAATTTATAAAAAATACAATAATGCATGTAATTTGTAATATGACTTGAAAATAAAAGGATAAGCTGTATCAGAAGGTTATTTACCCAAGATGCATTTGTGTGAGATCTTTCAGCAGACCAGCTTACAACATGGGTCACTATAACACACTGTATAGTACTGTATTTTATATGAAGAAACCTTCCTAAAAATGTTATTTACTACCTTAAGTGTTATAGGATGGCACAATTTGACTACTTGTACACTCAGACAAATGATTAATGAATAAACCAGGGTATATGCAGATGCATAATACTGTACACTACAATATTACTTATTATCTTCACACCCAACATTCCAACCACTAATCGATTATCATATTCGAATAAGACGTCTAATTATAAGAAAATTTTGATCTACAGTGATCCCTCGGTTAACAAAATTTCGGTTAACGAATTACCTTCCATAAGATTCTTCACTTCGGTTAACGAGCAAACCCTCGGTTAACAAATTCCTTACGAATTTTTCCCAACATGTTTTCGCCTGCATTTGGCTGCCCACCAGCTGTAGTATTAGTCTGCCAATTCTGTACAGTAATCGGTTTTAGGGCTTAAATTCCTTACCATTTTAGTAAATATCAAGAAGGTTGTACTATTCAATAATTTTAATAGTTTTATATTAAATTTTTTAGTCATTTTAACAATTATTGAACATAATTGAAGTATAGGAAGCTAGTTTTTTTACACGCCAAACAGCCACTCAACACACCAAGCTTGGCGTCAGTTTGTTTACCAGTTCAGAGAAAGGAACATCTTGTTTGAGACTCTTCAACATAAACGCTTTTTTTTTTTTTGTGTTTCCAGTCAAATTATTGGTCATTTTGAAATATATTTTACATATTGACAATATAAAATGCAGTGCAGTGTTGATTTAAAGAAAATAATCTTGAATTTCACCAAGTGAACTAAAATTTTATGGGTGAAATGGCAGCATGGGGTGACTTCTCTTCCACCCCAATGCCTTCTCTTCTCCCTTCTCCTCCACCCCCATTCTAATTCCCATCATCATCATCAACCAGGAGCCTTCTACATGCACACCCCAAAGTAAGTGTACTTTACTGCATTGATTTTTAGTTTGTATGTAATTTTTGGTGAGCTGGAACCAATTACCCAAAAACCCATTGAAACAATAGTTTCGGTTTACGAATTTTTCAATTAACAAGCAACCTTCTGGAACGAATTGTGCTCGTTAACCGAGGGACCACTGTATTACATTACCGTCGTAAATGTATAATAACGGAGATAGCATATCCAAAATTTTCTCTACTGTATTTTCTTCCATTAATCTTCCGCCATTATCGCCTACCTCACCTCCCTCACTGCATGTCTCCTTCATAAATCATCACGCACGTGCGTTCCCGTACACGTCATACGGCCAATCAAAGGCTTTTTTTTTTTTTTGCAACCAATTAAAATTATTTTTTATTTAATTCGTGGTATTTTTGGCCAATCAAATTCGATTTTTTTGGGGGGTTTCTCATATTTCGAAATTCAAATTCATTTCCGACCATGGAAGTCTGCGATGGGTGTCACTTAAATTATATAGAGCTGATTGCATTTTGGGGGAAAAACGAAGCATTTTTTCGATCGCATGGTGTTCTTCCAACCTCAGTAAAGTGTCCTAAGTGCAAGACTGAATGTAAATATCGCAAAGACCAACATAAGTAGCGTTGTGTAAGAATCTCAGAATCCAACGACGAACAAGAACCAGGCCAATAAGGTAAGAAATAGGTGATTCCATCATATGGTGAGAGTCAGTTAGGTTAGGTTAGGTTTGGTTTTGGTTTTGGTTTTTCTAGTGTTTTTTTGGTGTATTTTTTATTCGCTTAGCCTTTATTTTTTCGGAAAACGTCCCACGAAAAAAATTTGATAAAAAAAAAAGGCCAATTTCCGACGGAAATTAAAGTCATATTCGGCCTAAACACACACAAATACACTAGAAAAATATATTTTTGACTTTCTAACAGAGTGGGGTGCGCTTATGCAAATTTACCATTGATATATAGTGACAACTATACTGCAACAGTATTTATTAAGTGATGATAAATACACGATTAAACTGTACTAATTTACTAAGTGTTGAAGACAAACATTGTGGAAAGCCAATAATCTGTTTGCCCTTTGTAAACAAATGACTCATGGTGTTCAGTGTGGGATTCTTTTTTCAGAAAAGCTGATTCTTTTAGGATAATATTTTATCAACCTGACACCAAATGATCCTAAATTAGATGAGAATTATGGTGAAATTGCATAAAGAAGTGTTAAAGGAATCTTGGGGAGAGAGTACCCACCCGGGCTACACCCTCCCCTCTGCCAGCTGCTCCCAGATAAGCACTCGTCTTCCACATACAATATAATCCTACACTTAATTGTTCTTATTTTTATCTTTATAGTACTGTACAGTATCCAGTTTTCTCTTTATTCATAAGAAAATTCTGTGGTTGCTTACATAAAACACTTTACAGTAAATAACAATCATCTCAGTGAAAACAGTTATTGACAACCAGACTTATGTGTGATTTTCACCCCCAGAGAGTTGTTTCATTTTTTTATATTGTTGATGTAATATTCTTTTTATAACCTTGTTGTAAACTTAAAGACCTTAGATGTTGAAGTGCAGTAATAACATAATATTAACTAATTTTCTTTAAACAGTTCAAATTTGCAACTCCCCCCCCCCCAAATATGTTCGTTTTCTTTGGTCTTTCACACTTTTTGGGCTGGGGTCTGCCCCAATTAGTCCTATTTATCGAGGTTCTACTGTACTTAATTGTCAGTAATAAATTTTAACAACTTAATACTGCTTTAAAAATATTCTTGGCCAATTGTATCGTGGTACAGTAATGTAATTATAACTTCCTGTAGAGTGAATGGCCCATCCAACTTAACAGTCTAAGAATTCTTCAGTTTCTCACTCTCTTTCCCAAATTCCCCATTTTTTCTTATTTCTGTTCTTCAATTTGTCAGCGAACAAGAATTTCTTTAGAACTTTGTTGACTTACATATTTACTTAAAACAGCTTATGGTAGCTTACTGGCCCCCCTTCACTTTATGAAATCATTCCTTACTGCTAAGATAATATATAGACTAACACCATCAAGACATATATACTGTGGCACAGCTAAAAGCGAGAGGCTTCTTATAACATATAAGGATAACAATTAAACTCAGCTGGTGAGATACTGTACTATATTCATATTGATAAATTCAGTGATGTCTTACCATAATGTAAACGTGCGTAGGTAGAGTGCGAGCTAGCAAAGCATCTAGGGATGTGGGCTGCCCTGGAGAGTGGGACTCAACGCTCAATGTTAGCTTTGGTAAATGAACATTTCCAGCTAACAAAGGATACAGTGTATATGTCACTCGTTCACTGCAGCTTGGCAACACACGTAACCGTACCTGAAAAAAAAACAAAAAATAATACGGTATATATATATATATATATATATATATATATATATATATATATATATATATATATATATATATATATATATATATATATATATATATATATATATATATATATATATATATATATATATATATATATATATACACACACACAAACATTTGAAGGAAGATCAACCTAGTTCTTCTGAAACTGAGTTTGAAGAGTTTAGGGCCAGCAAGGGCTGGTTCGATAAGTTTAAGAAAAGAAGTGACATTTATAGTGTTGTCAGGCATGGTGAAGCTGCCAGTGCAGACAAAGAAGGAGCTGAAAAATTTGTAGTGGAGTTCAAGGAACTGATGTATGAAGAGAATTATCTTCCACAGCAAGTTTTCAATGTGGATGAAACCGGTCTGTTCTGGAAGAAAATGCCCAAAAGGACATTCCTCACCGGAGATGAAGCTTCTTTACCGAGGCATTAAACCCAGGAAGGACCGTCTCACTCTATTGCTTGGTGCCAATGTTTCAGGGGATTTCCGACTGAAGCCTATGCTTGTATACCACTCTGAGAACCCCAGGGTGTTCAAGCAACAAAAGGTGGAGAGGACAGCTTGGAGTTTATTGGAAGTCAAACCGTAAGGCATGGGTAACGAGACAGCTCTTTAATGAATGGGCCAGTTGAGGTGTTTTGCCCTTCTGTGAAGAGTTACCTCACCACCAATAAACTTCCTTTAAGGGCTCTTCTCCTTCTGGATAATGCCCCTGGTCATGACCCTGAACTTACCAGCACTTTGGAAGCTCGAATTGACTTTGTCAAAGTGCTGTTTTTGCCTCCCAACACCACATCAATAATGCAGCCAAAGGACCAAAATGTAATCAGCAACTTCAAGAAGATGTGCATGAAAAAAATGTTCAGAAGGTGTCATCAGGTAACTACCACTGATCCTGATCTATCACTGGCACAGTTCTGGAAGATGCAATACAACATCCTGGAGGCTGTAAAATTGATTGTGTCAGCATGGCAAGAAGTCTCCATTCGATCCCTGAATTCTGCGTGGAAAGCACTGTGGCCAACAGCAGTCCATGATTTTGATGGATTTGAGGAAGAAACGGAGTTGGACAAGGAGATTGTGTCCATTGGTCAGTCAATGGGACTTGAAGTGGAGGAGGATGATGTTGAAGAGCTTGTGATGTCTCATGAGCAGAAACTTACTCCTGAAGATTTGAAACAACTGGATGAGATAATAGAAACAGACAGTGGTGAGGAGGAAAAGGAAAGTGATGACCATATGTCTTCTTCAGACTTAAAAGATGCTGTTCACCACTGGGAGATGTTCAGGAAACTGGCTTCAAGGCACCCTGATGTGGAAACAACAGAACCGATTTTGTGTACTGTGGAGGACAAAGTGGTCTCCTTCTTCAAGAACCAGCTAATGATCAGGAGGAGAAATGCCCCACAACGAAAAATTGACAGTTTCTTCTCTAAAAGGCAGCGTGAGAAAGATGCTTCCCCTCAGTGTTCCTCTTCAAAAAGGAGAGAGGATTTTCCCGCTGGAGAATCTGTCAGCCCAGAGGTTCCTGACATTATTATGGAAGGTGACTCGCCTTCCAAGAAGCATTAAAATGCTTCTCGTCCACCCCCACTTCCTTCTCTTCTCCCTTCTCCTCCTCCACCCCCACTTATAATTCCCATCATCATCATCATCAACCAGAAGCCTTCTACATACACACCTCAAAGTAAGTGTACTTTACTGCATTTTTTTTTTTTTTACTTTGTATGTACTTTTCTGTGAGCTGGAACCAATTACCCAATATCCCATTGAAACAATGGATTTGGTTAACGAAATTTTCGGTTAATGAACGACCCTCTGGAACAAATTGTGTTCGTTAACCAAGGGACCACTGTATTATTATTACACACAGTAAACCTTTGCCATTCGCGGGTTTGCAATTTCAACGATTTGTGGTAAGCAGATGGCGATTATGGTGGCTAGCTTGTGAGCCTTTTCCTGCAGCGCAACGAGTCACCCCACGCACCCAAGGCATCTCATTTCCCTCTGTTCGCGCTCACCCAGTACCTATAACCCAACATCTTGTGTTGTACTCTCAAAACTTTCGTGTTTCTTTGTGAAAATGGACCCTAAAAACTGCCTAATGTCAGTTGAGAGAATGCTAAAAGTCCTCATGTTCATTTTTATGAGTCAACAGGTGGTGAAGGGACTAGTGCAGTGACTCAACCAACTTTTAGTGCCAGTAAAGATTGGTTCGAGAATTTAAAGAAAAGATTCTCTCTTCATAATGTGCGGCTGACTGGGGAGGTCGCATCAGCTGACCACACAGCTGCAGGTGCATTTCCCGCCAAATTGAAGAAAATAATAGAAGAGAAAGGCTATAGATCAGAGCAAGTGTTTAATGCCGATGAATCCAGTCTATATTGGAAAAAATTGCCTGGTAAAACATACATAAACAAGGCAGCCAAGGACAGAGTGACGCTCATCTTCTGTGGCAGTGCAGCTGGCCACATGATTAAACCTGGTTTGCTTTACCGCTCAGCAAACCCTAGGGCTTTAAAGAGTAAAAACAAGAGCCTTTTGCCAGTTTTTTGGCAGTCCAACAAAAAGGCATGGGTAACTGTGCAAGCATTCCTGGATTGGTTCCATAAATGCTTCGACCCAGAAGTGGAAAAGTACCTTGCTTTCAAGAAGATGGAATTCAAGGTGCTATTATTGATAGATTATGCATCAGGCCACCCAGAAAGTTTACAGTTTAGCCATCCAGGTGTAGAGGTGGTGTTCCTACCCCTAATACCACTGCTTTTATTCAGCCTCTCGATCAGGGTGTAATACGCACCTTCAGGGCATATTACACCCGACGCTCTTTTGGTCATATCCGTAGTGCCATGGACACAGACCCTAACCCTGATGTTAGCAAGTGTTGGAAGTAGTACAGCATTGCAGGCTGCATTACCAACATCAGTGAAGCATTCAATGAACTCAAACCAGAGACAGTGAATGATTGCTGGTGAACTTTATGGCCTGAGTGTGTGAATAACTTCCAGGGATTTCCATCCATAGTAAAGGATGTGAATGACATTGTGAGTGTTGCACGTCAGTTGGGTGGTGAGGGGTTTGTGGACATGGCTGCTTGATGGGCATGGAGAGGAACTGACAGAAGAGGATTTGGAAGAATTGGTAAAAAATTCCGAGGAAGATGAAGAAGAAGAAATTGTGGAATTGCAACAAGAAGGTTGAGGCTTGAAAAAATTTTGGTGAACTATTTCGACAGGTGAAGATGGTAACTGATTTCATTGTTGACCACGACCCTTCCATGGGAATGGAGCCTCAAGATTATCTGAGGAATCAACCAGGTATTGTTTCCCTAGTAGGAAATGTTTGAAAACCAAAGAAAAGATGAAACAACTACCAATCACGATGTTTTTAAAGAAAAAAACCAGCAGCTACCGCTGCCGCTCCACCCTCCTCCTCCCAGCCACCCTCCACCTCTCTGCCACATGCCACGTCCCGGTTGCGCACCTCTCCACTACCTGCCTCTCCACCACCTGCCTCTCCACCACTGCATCACCCTCTTCCAACAGTGATCCTGATGATCCCCTATGCTTCAGTAACCAGATGTCTCCCTATGTATAGTGCACCACTTCATCAAGCTCCAAACTTCCACGTATGAATGTAAGTATAGTATTGGTGACTTAAGTTTCTCATACACAGTATAGTGTTTGCTGTATATATATCACAATCAAAATCAAATTTACACTTACAAACTATGATTTGTATTGAGTATTAATGGTTTAATTTTACGATAGGTCTTTTATCTTACGAATCCAATAAAAAATGCTATACTGTGGAGAAAATACATGATAATTTACAATCTACAAATGTTAAAACAAAACTACAATAAAATGTGGAAGATTTATCCTGAAATCTCCTTTCTGATAGAGACTGAAGCTGTGAAGTTCTTATTATACAGGGTGACTTCTAGGGATCCTCAAGTCCTTGTTGAACAGTGTTCCACTAATGCTGACAACCAATCCAGCTTCCTTGTAGTGTCATCCTCAAAGGGGGAGTTGGTACAATTGGAAGAAAGCTGAAGGCCTTATTACAGCTGGTGAATGCTCAATCAATACTCATAACAACACAGCAATGGATCTGGATTAAGCTGATCCTTTTTGCTTTAGTTTTGGAATTGGCTGGCATTGGGCTTAACCAGAAAAGAGGATTTCAGGAGCAATCCTCCATTTCTAGCTACTGCTGTCTGAAAGACAACTCTTTTAATCCATAACCAGTTAGAACCAGAGAAAGTAGGAGTTGCTACACATGCTTCAGGATTAGATAGACACACACACCCCTTACAAGGGATAACTTTTTCCTACTGGGTTGGGGATCCTCTCCCTAACTCAAACTGAATAAATACGGTGTCATCCTGGACTTTGTAGGATAAGCTAGGTTCAAATTTCTCAAAAACATCAGATGTATACCCTGCCACAGACAATTCAAAATTGTCACCAAAAAGTGAATAATGCATGTACAATCAAAGGAAAAAGGTCATGTTACACCCCCCTAGCATTATGTTCTGAAACTCATGACAGAGAATTTAGGTAAAGTAAAAGCAAATCTTCGAGGATTGAGTCTAACGGGGAAGTTTTCAAAAATTCTTCGTCGTGGGTTTCAAAACATAAGGCACAGTAAGTGTAGAGAGACTTTTTTGTATAATTGTACATACTGTACATACCAAAAGAAAAGATGACGTACTCAACATGATTCTCATAAACTGCCAAAAACCAGCAGTAATCTGTTACTAATGACCTCTAAAGACATTTAAAACTCTTAAAAGACAAGGGAAACAAAGTTGTCCTAGATATACGAAACAAGAAATTAAAATGAGAATGAGATTAGACAATTACCTTCAAGGAATAAGAAGAAGCTCTGTACAAAACCAGATGAGAAAACTAAACCTGGATTCATAGGTCTATTTGGCCATCATAACTAACATAATGAGATAGAGGGGCCTGTACTGCTGCAACATTATATACTCCCCTAACTACTTTGCAATATACTGTAAATACACAACAAATTTACTTCATATATCTTCTTCTTTTTCTTTTATAATCAAGTAGTCAAGCAATGTGCATGGAAGATAAGTTATTGTAGTGTGTAAAGTATTCTGGTAGACATCAGGATCAAGGTTAGTTTACTAAAACAAGACTGCTTGTATAGACGCCATCATAAAAGAAACGTCCATATCATCAAGCTAATTTTTTTCCCATAATAGTGCTGCTATGAGTGATCAAACACCACTATGCAACTGCATATGAGGAATTAAATATATTAAACCAAAAGTGATGGCAACTCATTAAACACTGTCAGACAATCATTATTGTTGATCCTTAGAATTCTGTCTTTTCATAATGCAGAACAATACCCTCAATAGTAAGCACAGAAGGAATAAATCAACATAAAACATACCTCCTTGTGTCCAGCATACATGAATGCATCTGATACTTGCATATTGAGGGCAAGCTCTGCAGTGTGAGCACCATGGTTTGATATGGTGTAAGCCAGAGGTAGTGGGGTGCGCACTGTTCCTTGTGGGGCCACCTCACACTCAACCCACACACCCCAATGTTCCACCATTACTGAAGGAAGACCTACACTTACACTAACAGCTGGGGAATCACTATTTGATCTGTAAATAAAGATATATTCTTTTACTTAACAGTCACTTATAATATAAATTAAAGTAGACAAAAACTGAGGATGACCAGATTTAGAATTTCAAAATTGTCAGTGCTGCTGTTGTCCTCCTATTAGCCATGATGCTGCTGTAAAAGTATCTCAGTCACTTAATATATGTGGCCATAGTGACCATTTTACTAATTCTTACCTATCACTCTTAACCCCCAGACACTGGGCTATGGTATATTTCTAAAAAAATTAAATAAAATATAAAATAATTCTAATCTTACAGACTGGTTATGCATGATATAAACAGTAAAGAAATGTGTCTTCATTATATGTCGAGGATGTGTTCCAGAGAAACGTGACTTAAGAGTGAAATTTTTTATAATGAGGAACTTTTCTCATAAGTATTAATATAATTAGGGGTATATGTATTACAACAAATACAGTCTACACTTTGAATGCTCAAGAAGTGTTAGTGGAGAGAGAACTTTAAGCAAATAAGCATGCAATGGAATCATTATAACATACCCTATAGTATTTGATATGGAGATATTGTATGTTCACAACAATGATTTTCATTACCATTGAATGAAACATGGTGGCTCAATTTTGCTACTTATAAACTTTGACAACTGATCAGTGAATAAACTAGGGCATATGGAGACCCATTATACACTACAATAATATTTATTACATTTTATAAATACTGTAGGCTTCAATATTATTTACTAAGCGCTGAAGACAGATCCCGTGGTAAGCACCAACCTCTTGAACAGTGACAACAAAGTACTTGAGAGATGGTTGAGTGCTGGCAAGATTGCTAGGGAGAGTGAAAACGATCAACTGTTCCCACTCTGTAAACAAGAGCCTGAGAATATAATACAATGCAATAACTCATCTAGGATTGAGTGTGCAATTTTTTTTGGGGGGGGGATTGACTATTTTATAATATTGTTTTATTAACTCAGCACCCAATGAACCTAAAAAACATGGTAATTATGGTGAAATTGAATAATGTTATTATAAAGGGATCGCAAACTGATGAGTGAGAAAGAGAGAGTTGTCCTGTCAATCCAGCCAGCACTCCCTCCTTACTCCCTCGCCACCCTCTACCTCTTCTCCCCAACTTTTTTCACTCCATTTGGTTACATGCAAAATCTCCATTCCATAAAAACTGAATAAGATTTTCTTAACTTTCATTTTTTGGGTGTTGAAACACTTGTGTGATATAAATGTCTAGGCAGTGAGGTAAACAGTAATCTGGCAATTCATGGTGTGTTGCTGCCAAATCGCCTGCTACTCTTCCACACAAAATATAACCATAATCTCTTTTTTTTTATTTTATATCTTTATATTAGTGTACAGTATATTGTAGTTTCTTTATTCACAAGCCAAAAGCTAATGTACACTCAGGTGCCATAGTTTCAATGCACCCTCTACCCCTACTCCTGGCTCGAGGGAAGTCGTAGTGATGGTAAATAAAGTGTTGTGAAGTCACTAAAAACCTATATCGTGCATATATTCTCTCAAATATTACATCATGAACTGCTATTCGTACAATCCAGCGAAGCTTCGAGCTACCACAACCTATATCGTGCATATATTCTCTCAAATATTACATCATGAACTGCTATTCGTACAATCCAGCGAAGCTTCGAGCTACCACATTGCACCATTAAACGATGGGTGGGGGGAAGTGGGAACGTTCAGTATGAAGCCAAGGCTACGACTTCCATCAAGTCAGGTGTAGGGGTAGAGGGTGCATCAAAACTATGGCGCGTGAGTGTACATACAATAATAATAAAGTAAATAATACAGTAATAAATAAATGTAATACTGCGTGGTGAGCTGACAAGGCGAGGGGTGAGGTGACGAGGCAAGAGGTGAAGTGACAAGGCAAGAGGTGAGGTGATGAGGCAGGAGGTCAGGTGATAAGGTGAGGGATGAGGTGACAAGGCAGAAGGTGATGTGACATGACAAGGTACTTACACAACAAACACATTAACAACACCAAACCAATGTCTTATAACATTTTAATTTTAATTTCAATTTTAAAATTAATTGATAAATGACTCGATCTGGCTACTTTTGTACTTAGACAACTGATCAGTGAATAAACCAGGGCATATGGAGATGCATTACACACTACAATAATATTTATAAAATTCTGATAAATATGCTACAATATTATTTACTAAGTGCTCAAGACAGATCCTGTGGTAAGCACCAACCCTCTTGAGCAGTGACAACAACAGTGTTTGAGAGATGATGAGTGATGGCAACATTGTGAGGGAAAGTGGGACCAATCAGCTGTTACCGATCTATAAACAAGAGACTGGGAATAGACTACGGCGCAATAGCTCATCTGGGATCGTGTGTGGGATTTTGGGGGGAAAATTAATTACTTTTTAATAATGTTTTATTAACCCAGCACCAAATGAACCTAAGTAATATGGGAATTATGGTGAAATTGCCTATTGTCATTTTAAAGGGAGCCGCAGGCTGATGAGTGGGGGAGGTGAGCTGTGCTCCTCCGCCACCTGCCAACCCCTCTCCCCGGCTACACACCAAAATGTAGTTTTGAACATTATCTTAATATATAATTCAAATTCTATTTCTATATTTCATTCATCTTAATCTATTTCATAATATATTCCTATAATAATAAAATTGATTTTTTGGAATCGCTCAGTTATTTCAGATTCATTCCAATTTCAAATTGCTCAATTCATTTTTTTAAAAACATATGAATTAAGCCAAAATCTGAATTATAACTACCCCAATTAACAAGAGTACAGTGCATTAGGAGTCTTGACTGAATAACCAGAAATTTGTAAATGCGAACTAACCTTTTCCAATATAAGACATACTGTCCAAGAGTTAAAGCTGAGTTTGGGAGAGATTTTTTACTAAGAGAAATACAGAAACAGTCAACTCCCATTTCTCCTTCAGAAAGTTCTGTGTTCATCACCTGTGACTTGGATTCTGTGCCAACTTGACTAACTTCATTAGCCTGTAAATATAAATTATTAATATTAGTCCATTAGTTATTTTAAACATACAGTAGGCTCTCGCCAATAACGTTTAATAGGTGCCTGAAAAATGCTGTTATTAGCGAAACCGTTATTTGTGTCACATTAAAATACATGTAAAAAGGATTTATTGGTGCTGCCGCCCCAAGAATTTCACCCAATTTTTCCCCTTAGAAGCCCTGCATAACACTTATTGTTTGCTGAAATAAAGAGAATTGTTATTCAATCATCAAAATAAAGAGTTTGTGTGATATAACACTTAGTTTGGGGGAGTTTTTGAGGTGCTTGGTGTGATGATTGTTCCGTATCTGAGGGCCGCTAAGACTTGCACTGCCTTTCATTCTACAAGCCAACCATTTCACAAGAAAATGCTCTGTTATCACTAACAACCTGTTTCTATCACTTTTACCATTCATAGCTCGCCTCACATTTTCATCACTACCGAATTATTTCTTCGCCAGAGCAATACTCTTCTTGGTCTCCTCTAAGTTCCTCTTAATATTTCGCACTGTAGACTCAGGACAGTTCAATTTTCTCCAGGTTTGTTATGATTTAAATCAATTTAAATCAGAGTAAAAAAATCATGATTTAAATCAAAATGATTTTTTTACTAATAAATGTTATCTCTTTTTATTCTACATGATTGAAAAGTATATGCAATGCAGCAGGCTAATAACATTACAGTAGTACCCCAATTTCGCGGAAAGTGAAAACCGCATAAAGTGAACAACAGAACATATGGGATTAATTCCAATAGAGACTGGCCCGACCCCCAAACTCCACTTTTTCCGACACAATACCTATGTTGTAGTAAAAATAACATCTAAATTTTATGATGGTATGCTCACACAATTAATATTTAAGAGAAATACAGCCGCCAGGTTAATGTCCATTCAAATAATGGACTCAAATCCCCCCCCTCTTCCCAGCTCACTAGCTCCTACCTCTCTGAGAAATGTTTGGGTGAAACCACTAGATTTTAACGTTTAGTAATAAATAATACCTCAGACTAAAGTTAGGATAATATAATTGACATTTCTGGATTCCTTGCAGGTCAGGGAATATTTTGAATGTAAACTTCATATATTTTGCACAAAAGATAAAATATTTGCTTTGTGTAAACCAAATTATTACATTAGATCTAAAATTTGTATGTCTAATGCAAAATCCATGATGTTTATATTCAAAATGATCATCATATTGTAAGAATTCCAGCAATGTAAATTATATTCTGGCCGGGTAATTTGTATGAATTTTATGAGCTAAAACAAATATCTTCAGTAAATAAACAAAGAAATATTCTTCAAGGACACTATCTGTCAATCAAAATACCCCACCTCCGCCCTCCCTCCCTTCCTACCCCCCACCTTCCCTCCCTACCAGAGAAGCGATTGGGAGAAAATAGTATATTTACATATTTAGTAATAAATAATAACCCAGACTAAAGTTAGGATAATATAATTGACATTTCTAGATTCCTTGCAGGTCAGGGAATATTTTGAATGTAAACTTCATATATTTTGTACAAACGATAAAATATTTGCTTTGTGTAAACCAAATTATTACATTAGATCTAAAATTTGTATGTCTAATGCAAAATCCATGATGTTTATATTCAAAATGATCATCATATTGTAAGAATTCCAGCAATGTAAATTATATTCTGGCAGGGTAATTTGTATGAATTTTATGAGCTAAATAAAAAATAAAAAAAAAAAATTATACTTCACCGCTTATATGAGTAGATGCACCGCGGAAAGTGAAAGTCCGGTTCTGGCAAGGTACCGCGTAAATGAGAAATCGCGGGATGTGAAACCGTGTAATGCGGGGTAATACTGTATTTGGATTTACATAATTATGTACTGTACTATAGTCTGTTTTTGTGATAAAAACTACTAAGTCTGAAAAAGTCACTTTGGATCAGCAAGTTGCTAATTATATATATGCAACAAATTCACCCTTCCGGACAGTGGAGCACGAAGAGTTTATCAATATGATTAAAATGCTAAGACCAGGATATGTTCCACCTAATAGACATCAAATTGGAGGGTCTCTTTTGGATCAAGCCAACGATTCAGTGATTAAGAATTATTCAGAAGAACTTAGTGGGAAAACAGTTTGCATGGCCATGGATGGATGGAGTATTGGAGTAATATCCATAATGAGCCTATAGTATGTATAACTTTAACAGCGGACAGCCGTATTTATCTTGCTGACTCTATAGACACAGATTCAAGACACACAGCTGAATATCTGTAGAAATTAGCTGAGTGTGCTACAAAAAAAGTGTGAAGACAAATTTGGATGCACAGTAAGAAGCTGTGTAACAGATAATGCTGCTTATATGGCAAAAATGAGAAGTGAATTTGGACAAGATAAATCCATTATAACATATGGTTGCTCTGCACACCTGTTAAATTGCTTTCACAAAACCTGTAAATCAAGAACATTAAGGAGCACATTACTGAAATCATTAAGTACTTCAGAAATCATCACATCCCAGGATCTTTGTATAGAAGAGCAGGAGGAACAATGCTAGTAATGCCATCAGACACACGATGGAACACAATGACAGATTCTATTGAATCTTATTTAAAGAACTGGGAGACCCTTGTCAAAGTGTGCAAAGAAAATAGTGAAGACATTGATAAGAAAATCGAAAGGAAAGTTAATGATAAGGCATTAAAAAGAACTGCAGAAGACTATTTAGAGAAACTTAAGCCTATTGCTGTGGCATTGGACTGTGTCCAGAGAGAACATACCCTATTAAGTGATGCTGTAGAAATCTGGGTAAAACTGAAAACTAATATTAAGGAGTATTTAACAGATAAGAAGGATATGGATAATTTTGAAAAGAGAATCAAAGTAGCATTGACACCTGCCCATTTTCTAGCTAATGTGATAGATCCAAGGTATCAGGGCAGACATCTGACTCCTGAGCAGTGAGACATTGCAGAACAGTATGTGTGCGAGTCTCTTCCACATTTCCTTTCAACATTAATGTCCTTCCATGTGCACCATTTAAAGAGGTCTATTTTGGTAAAGATGTTGTAAAATCTCTCTCACCCCTTGCTTGGTGGCGGTATTTTGCCAATGATATGACAGAAAATGTAATGGATGTTCCTAGGCAATTATTTACAGCTGTTGCATCATCAGCAGGGGTTGAGAGAATTTTTTCCACATATGGATTTGTACACTCAAAGGTAAGAAATCGCCTAGGACAGGAAAAGGCATCTGCGGTAAGCTTGTCACAGTACATAAGCATTTCAATGTTCAACTAAGCTAATTTAAATGTTTTGAACTATTTTTGTTGTTTACAGAATGAGAATATTTTGTTGACTTGAAGTTATTACCGGTAAATCTTAATACACTATAATCCTACAAATGTAAGAAAATAAACTTGTTACCAGTACAATATTATTTTTTTTGCAAAATGAGATTATTATTCTGTTGACTTGAAGAAGTTAAGTTATTAATTTTTGAAACACTGTAATCCTATAAGAGCATTTATGTTAAATTTCATTATTACGTTTGGATTCGTGCACTCAAATGTAAGATATGTTACCAGTTTTCTTTTATTTTACAAAAAGAATATTATTGTGTTAAATTCCATTGGTACATCTACTGCATAGATATCTTAATGCCAATTTTCTGTTTATTATCCTGAATAAGCCTTGGTTGAAAAATACTGTTTTTATGGTTTAAAAATACTATTTTAATGCAATTAGTAAAAAAATTAAAAATTTTATTTAAATAAAAAAAATCCGATTTAAATCAAATAAATCGATTTGTTTTATTTTTTTTTAAATCATGATTTTTTCCAACCCTGATTTCCTCACAATATCAATGTTCCGTGCACCACTTTCAATGAGCTCAACAATCTGTTCTTTATCCTTCACCGAGTAGGCACGCTTCTTGTGGCTTTGTCTCATAGCTTTGGGGTCTTTTTTCTCATTCACTTTAAAAGTTCCCGGGCATTCAGGCGGCAAATCACTCCCTCCACCACCTCCCCTAACCCCCACAGGCAAAAATGCGGAAGCCATTGTTGATCACCGACCCTTGCAACCACTGGTTATAGAGGCGAAAATCTCACACGTGGGCGCAGCGCTGTATTCCACGGAGCGTGTTTGAGAGTGAGAGTGAGGAGGAGCGGACAACTACGTCATCAACATGGCGGCAAACAAACGCTATCATTGATGCGCTCAGACGCTTCCTGTAATATCTCCGCTATTCAAGAGAATCCAGACGTAATTATCGAAAATGGGTATGTAGTGTAACTTACCGCTATTGTCGAAAACATTATTGTTATTGGCAAGAGCCTACTGTAATGTGATTTTCAACAAAATCTAATTTTGGGCCCAAACTGTCGAAATTGTAAGTCTTACACCTTAGTAATTTTTCGACCAAAATATACCTTCCTCTCAGAATTAAAACTTAAGGGGTTTAACGAAGTGTGTAATAACCTTCAGTTGCAATCCATGGAGCCCTATGTTCAGCTGTATCACAACCATATCAAAGCTAGCCGTCAACAAAACATTACGAGTTCTTCACCCGCAACCCACCACAGCCAGCCCAAGTCAGTGATAGTGAGGATATGGAATTTGAGGGATTTGACAAGGAGGCCCATCTAGCCTCTGTGGTGGATAGTGATACAGGTGATACAAGTGATACAGGTGAGGGCCAATAATCTGCTCTCTGCCTCGGAACCAACCCCCCATCCCAGTGTGCCCAGCCATCTCTCCTACTAACGTAAGTGTTTAAAACCTAATATTATTGATATTTCTCTTAAATATTAATTGTGTGTGCATACCATCATAAAATTAAGATGTTATTTTTTACTAAAACGTATTGTGTCGGAAAAAGGGTAGTCTGGCGGTCGGCCCAGTCTCTATTTCAATTAATCCCATATGTTCTGTTATTTTTTTTTCGCGTTTTGCGTTATACGCGGACCTCCATGGGTTAAATTAGCCGCGTAAACCCAGAATATACTGTATATCATAGCCTAAGTCCTTATATACATCTAAAATTACTTAATCTAAGACAAAAGAAGAAATAGAATGACAAAATACAGTAAATGAAGGTAAAAATAAGTCATCAGGTAAATAAAATACTGTAAATTTCAAATTTAACCCTGTTCGTATCAGTGGGCGTTCGTAGGTCGAGGACCCCCTCTACGCACTATACATATTTGTTATATACCGTACTTATACTGTATTGCATCAAATTAAATGTTTTATACTTATATTGTTAGAGAATTTGTACTGGCATTGTGTAATTATCAATACGTATTATTGTAATTGTGTATTTTGATATAGTGCGTTTTTTCCCAGCTGAGAAAAAATGCCCCACCCCCTCCTCAAGAGTTACAGATGACTGGCTGTTGCAAATCTGTCCGATTTCGTCCTTGAAATATGAAGTTGTTCACAGTTATATTCCTGCCTCTGCTGACGGCTGTTTGCTCGAGCGCCCAAGTCTGTCACACTCATCCACCAATTTCCAGCGGCCTTGTAATATTTCAGTGTGATTCTGATCTTTTAAAATGTTAGTTTTTGCATAATGTAGTTTTACTGATATGTAATTTGTCTTAGTATGCCTTATTGTGGGTAAAAATAAGTATACTACGTATATTAAATGCATCCTCCGAAAGTGTGAATTTGTTACCAGAGTTAACAGTTAATTCATGTACTGTATAAGATTTCTGATAAACTTCCTGCATGCTCATGTTTGAAATAATGAATGTATGTATCTTTATATAATTTAGCTAAATATCTTTCTCGTCAGTAGAGGTCATCCCAACGAAATCGGACAGATTTGCAAAAGCCAATCAGCTGTAACTCTTGAGGATGGGGCGGGGCATCTTTTCTCAGCTGAGAAAAAATGCACTATAGTATCATTATCGAAAGAGTATCAGCCATTTCTAAGTATTGGAGTATTGGTATTGTTATCAGCTAGATCTTGGCACTAGTATCAGCCAAAATATTGATATCGGTAGATCTCTAATTACCATATGTAATAGCTAAACCAACAATTAAAAAATTCTTCAATAAAGTATTGTACATGTGTTGTGACACTGAGTGGTGTGCAGTAGCCCTTCAAGATAGAAACAAAATTTTATGAAAATGATTGACAAAGTACAAAAAATTTTCTCCATAAATCCAGATGAACACTTACCAGAGCCAGAGAGGAGTCAGTGAAAGTGATGGGCACATGAGAGGTGCATTTAATTTTGGGCACCACCAAGAAGTTTTCACCACCAGCCACTCTTCCTACTTTCTCAAACTTTAATGACTGGGTTTCCACAGTTACCTGGGAATGAAAGCATTGTTAGAAGAAAATAAAAGCAAATAAGTACTGTAAAGTTGATAAATTTAATGCTTTGCATGATTTCTTTGAAAAAAATAATAATACTGTACATAACTGCTTCAGTTGATTTATAAACATTTTGAGTATATAAGATACAAAATCATATTTCATAATGATTTATTCCTATAAATCCTCTTATGCTACTTTAAACTTTTTAACCTCTAAATGACAGTAAGCTTTATATGTAGAATATTTGCTCTGACGCTATTAAAAAATGATTATGGTCAACACTGAATACGAATACACAACATAAAAAAAAATTACAAAGTGTACAGTAATCTTAACAATTACCCTCCTTCGCTTTGAATATGAAGACACCAGAAGCTGGAACACCAAAATGAGAGCAATAGGTGAGGGTTTGGTGCTGCTTTAAGAACTGAGACAATGTACAGTATATAAACTTCATTAGTCCCAAAAGAGTTTAAGGCATCTGAAATAATGAATGCATTTTGACCATGATCCAACTAAGTGAGAAGTGCTACTTGCAGGAGAAAACAGCATCTGACACTGGGCAGTCTTCTGGCTAAAGGCATACTTTGCCAGAATTTGATTAATGTTATAATGTTACACATCTAACAGTTCACTTACTGATGACCAATATACTGTACGCAGGTCATAAAATGTGACCTCTGGAAATTTAAATCTGTACAGGACAACTGCTTTCAATACGGAGACAGCATCCTTTAAAGATGAAACACAAGACAAACTTCAACAGTATTAGTTCATACCTGGAATGGAATTCTTGCCTGAAGATGGATGTTTTTTTCACTCACACATGGGCAATGGACAACAGATCCACCAGAGGATAAAGACACAGTGTACTCAAGCTGTTGGAAACAATATGATAGTTTTCTTTTAGGTAATTGTTAAAATATAGGTATACCCCAGTTTTTGAACCAATTAATTCCATAAGAATATAACAAATTCAGGAGGTTAGGGACCAGCCACCCCCCAAAAACTCCCATCTACTCTTGATATACCTCTGTCGTTCAGACTGTCAAACAAGAAAAAAGCAGACATATAAAGCAAGCATGCTAAGCATTAATATAGGAATGTAAACATAAGTTGGTTGAAAATGTTCAAAGGAGGGCCACCAGACTGGTGCCTGCACTTCGGCACCTCAGCTACCCTGAGAGATTGGAGCGCCTGAACTTGCCTAGCTTATACTACAGACGGGCAAGGGGGGACCTAGTTGAGGTGTATAAGCATCTCAGGGGGCACTACTCAGTTGAGTGTTCTTACTTGGAGCTGGCGGACGCTCGCCCCACAAGGGGTCACAGCTCAAGATTGAAGAAGCCGCAAGTCCAGAAAACCGTGAGGGCAAACTTTTTCGGAGTGAGGGTTGTAAACTTTTGGAACAATCTACCAGAGTGTTGTGACGGCACCGAGTGTGAGCTCTTTCAAGACAAGACTTGACCAACACTGGAGCGGGTTCAGGTACAGTATTTGCCAACAGTGCGTGACAGAGACGGGACCGATTGCCCGGGCGGCTAGCGAGCCGATCTTTTGGTGAAAAAGATAAATGAAAAGAGACGTGACCGATCGCCCAAGCGGCTAACAAGCCGATCAGTGGCGAAGAGGATAAAAGTTTAAAAGTTATAAATTGAGACTGTCATTCACCAGTGTTGAACTGTTGGGTTCAAGTTGAGTTGCCATTCCTCCCCTCAGCCAGCCCCTCTGGCTGAAGGGCTGACTGATGCTATGGCCACTGTTTCTGCCATTAAGCATTTTAAAAGATACTGTATCCCCACCTTTTCGAAAACAATTAAGGGTTAGTGGAAATTTCTGTGGGCAAACAGAAAATTTTTAGATTCAGCAGGCCTGCTAACAAGAGCACCTCTCACTATTTTTATATCCCATGCCTATACACCTGTTCTATATAGTTACTGGAGAAATACAGCCATCTACGGATATAATATTGAAAATGGCTTCTCTCAAAATGATTTTTTTTTGTTAGGTTACTAAGTTGTGGAAGGGAAGAGGGAGGAGGCTGATCACAGTAGAATATAATAATAATGGATCAATAATATTCAGGTAGAAAGCCAGCCTTGATGGCACCCAGCGAGTAGTGAAGAGATTATCTTCTGATACACCTTGTCCTTTTATTTGAAGTCATATTACAAATTATATACAGTATAATATTTTTTTTATTATTTAATATATTATATTATTTAAGAAGAAAATTACACTATAAGAGGCTGATCATACAAGAATATAATAATGAATAAAAAAACCCTAACCTAACCTAATCCACCCCTCAGGTCAGGGACCCTTTTCCCTTGTTATTCAGCTTGTGTTTTACTTTGAAGTCAAATTATATACTGTATCATATTTTATTCTACTGTATTTAATACTGTATGTTATATTGTTCATGATGAAACATACACCATAATAGGTTGATCATACGAGAATACTGTATAAGTTGTAATCAAAATAAAAACGAACTTGGGATTATGGCAAAGGCCAGTCCCACATATAAAGTGTCATCTCATATCTATTAGCTCTTGTTGGGCCTATTAAAGAAAATATATGCTCTACTTAAAACCCTAGCCATTGTTTATAGGTTAAACAGAAGAGGAACAATCATTGGGGCATTTAGGCATGATTGCATAACACACCTAACACACAAAGTTGAAGAAAAAGAAGAAAATAGAAGATAAAAAATAAGAGAAAAGCAAGAACAAATAAAAGAGAAAGAATATGAGAGAAGAGAAACAAGATAAGAGAAGGTAAGAGAAAGAATATAAGAGAAGATAAGAGAAATGAGAGAAGAGAAAGAACAATTTCAAGAGAAAGAATATAAGAGAAAGAATGTAAGAGAAGATAAGAGAAATAAGAGAGGAGAAAAGAGAAGAGAAAAGAGAGAGTGAAAGAGAGATGTGAAGACTGTATACACCGTAGAATCTTGATTAATCACGAAATACAAACTTGTGAACTCATGGCAAGAATTCCCAACACATCACTGCCCACCAAACTCAAAAGACCTCTGCCGATCCTCCCCCAATCACCGGACCAACAAAGACCTCTGCCGATCCTCCCCCAATCACCGGACCAACAAAGACCTCTGCCGATCCTCCCCCAATCACCGGACCAACAAAGACCTCTGCCGATCCTCCCCCAATCGCCAGACCAACGAAACTTGCGGGGTACAGTACAGTATACTCTAGAGTTAACAGAATCCGATATAATGAATTCTTGATTTAGCGGAAGGAATTTTTTCCATTTTTTCCCTCGATTTAGTGAACTAGTTCGCGAAATCAAAATTAATTTCATTAATATGCAGACACCTACACAGACCCCTCAGACATATTATATGTACATAAAACATTAGAAACATTATTCATGGCTTACCTTAAACTTGGGAGTTTGGTGTTTTAATCCATTTTTTCTATAATTTCCAAACTTTTTTCCCAATTGATAGCTGCACTCTTTAGACTTTCTCCCCCACACCACTTCCTTTCTGAGACTTCTGAGAGACTTTCGGCATGATGTCTAAGCACAGTAGTTAGTTAACCGAGAGGTAGCAGTGAACAACACACACAGTGGCAGTAGGACACAGACTGAGCGGATGTAAACAAACCCCACGCGCCAAGCAGCATGAGAGGAATTTAACGAAATCATGCTCAATTTAAACCTAGCTCGCTAAATCGAGCGAAAATAACCTAAATTCGATTTAACGGAAATTATGATTTAACGGAAAGGGGTGGCTCGAATTAATTCATTAAATCGAAATAACACTGTATTTCCCCAATATGTAATCGTTGGTTATGTGAAGCAACGGTTAATGGGACGTCGACTAACGGGGAATACCTGTACCAGTAATTTAGGGTGTATATCATTCATCACGAACAATAAAGCTGTGACAGGCTTTCGAAATATACACACACAGGGTAATATAGTACAGAATCCTCGGGTTATTTTGAGAGATAGGAATCGAGAACATTCGTGAAGTAAAAAATCAATACTGTGGCCGTGGTTGAGTGGCCTGGGTAAACTCCATATTGCAAAGAGAAATAAACTAGTACTTACCTTTAATGTTAGTATTCGATCAGATGCAGTGAGAGATTTAACATAGAATGTCACAGATGATTGTTCTCCAACACCCATTTCTCCATAACTAAAACTGTTGACCTGTGATCCTAACTTGTCACTGAGTAGACCCGAAGATGTACACACTTGTGCTGTACAAAAAGAAGGAAAGGATAAAATCAGATATGAAGAGCTGATCCCAAAATCCAACTAAGAAACTGGTGTAATGCAATCACTTAGTCTACATATTGAAGATTTAGCTAGCTTTGACAATAGCAGTTAGCAACTATAGTATTTCCACACTAACCTGGCCTGTAAGCCACGCTCCTCTTCTATAAAAATAGCTGATTGATTCATAGAAAATGTTTGTGTAGCTGTCCATTTATTCAAACTAAATGTGTTCACAACTGGTAGGCAGAGCTGTTATTCTGTAAAATAATGTTATGATCATAAAGTTAAGATAATATTTTTACTACAACATAGTTGTGTGTCGTCAAAAAGTGGAGTTTGGGGGTCGGGCCAGTCTCTTTGGAATTAATCCCATATGTTCTGTTGTTCACTTAATGCGGTTTTCACTTAACGCGGTACCCTGTGGGTTCAATTGACTGCGTTAAGCGGGGTACAACTGTATTACCCCGCTTTACACGGTTTCACTTTCCAAGATTTCTCATTTACACGGTACCTTGTTCTGTACCTTGCCAGAACCGGACTACTTTCACTTTCCGTGGTGCATCTACTCATATAAGCGGTGAAGTATAATTTATTTTTTATTTTTTTTTATTTAGCTCATAAAATTCATACAAATTACCCTGCCAGAATATAATTTACATTGCTGGAATTCTTACAATATGATGATCATTTTGAATATAAACATCATGGATTTTGCATTAGACATACAAATTTTAGATCTAATGTAATAATTTGGTTTACACAAAGCAAATATTTTATCTTTTGTGCAAAATATATGAAGTTTACATTCAAAATATTCCCTGACCTGCAAGGAATCCAGAAATGTCAATTATATTATCCTAACTTTAGTCTGAGGTATTATTTATTACTAAACGTTAAAATCTAGTGGTTTCACCCAAACATTTCTCAGAGAGGTAGGAGCTAGTGAGCTGGGAAGAGGGGGGGGGGGATTTGAGTCCATTATTTGAATGGACATTAACCTGGCGACTGTATTTCTCTTAAATATTAATTGTGTGAGCATACCATCATAAAATTTAGATGTTATTTTTACTACAACATAGGTATTGTGTCGGAAAAAGTGGAGTTTGGGGGCCGGGCCAGTCTCTATTGGAATTAATCCCATATGTTCTGTTGTTCACTTTACCCGGTTTTCACTTTCCTCGGTACCCTGTGGGTTCAGTTGACTGCGTAAATCGGGGTACTACTGTACAGTATTCACAGATTGCTTCATTCATCTTCTGTTAAATGCCAAGAAGCATTAACATTTTACTTAAAAAATATTTTGATGGATTTGTTTCATAAATGGGAAATAGATTGCGATTGTAAACTGAAAATATCGTAATGTGAACGTGACAATAAACTGCTTCACTGTCCGTGCTAATACAATATTAACATTACTTTTGAGTAAGGTAGGATATAAATTTTGGTGTTCTGGCCCGCTGAGAAATACCTAAATTGTAATGCGGACAATGACCGAGGAAAGGTTGCCCATGCCTGCTTTAAGAGATGATGATGGCACCACTGATGATGAAACTGAAGTGTTGGGTGACTTGTTGGTGGAAGAGCTACCTCAAGACTTTGAGGGATTTGATGTTGAGGTTAGAGGAGGGGGCAGGGAGGCAGCAGTAACCAGCCCTCCCTGCCTCGGAACCCACCAACCAGCCACGTCAAGCAATTCACTGATTCCATCAAGGAAAGTTATTCTACAGTATGAGTGTATATAAATAGTATTGTTATCAACAATATGTACAATATAAATGTGTATGAATACATTACAGTAGTGTCATTTTCTGGGTGGGTTGTAGGTCATTATAGGAGGGTTCGGGTGACACCGCAGAACTGATTAGGCTTATTTACATGTATTTCAACGTCACTAGTTTTGCCATTTTTAAATTTTGCAGTGCTAAAACCAGTACCAATTAGTCGCAAAACTTAAAATACATATTAAATAATAAACAATATAACTAAGTAATTTGTAACATTATGATGGGGCTCTCCTTCATGTGAAAAAGAAAACCTAAGATGAATAAGTTTCTTGATGATAAACATAAACCAAATAAACTTAACATCACTAACTTACTGGCATGCTCCAGGTTAACAGGTGAAGAAGGGTCTAGTCCAAAGCTTAAGGATATGTCTGAAGCTATACTTTCTTCATTGTTGGTGAAGTGAACCTTGACTGGTAGCCACTCCCATACTAGTGCTGTGGTATCATGATCAACCTAAAAAATATAATCATCACATAACTTACCTAAAAAAAATTAAAATAAAATCTGAAGATGGTTAGTAAAGGTGCAGATATTATTGAATTATATGTGTAGTAAAAAAAAAAAAAGAATAAGGAATTAATAAATTTCAAGAACTACAGGCGAGTAGATAGGAAGCAGACAAAAAATACAAGAGATTTTCTTATTTGAGGAGTCTGCACACCTAGTTTTAACTGGCTTAGAATAAGGATATCATCAAACTCATTAACAAGACAGTTTACAACCTTGAGAGCACACCTTGCTGCATTTATCCCTCACTTATGAACAACTCCAATTAATGGCCGAAGTCCTAATGTCACAGCAGGATTTAAAGCATACTGGAGCTAAATTTAGTAAGACAGATCACAGTCATGAAGCACATAATCATACTGAAAAAGAAGGCACTTAAATTATCCTCACCTGAATTTTGGAGAATGTAGAAGATAACTACAGAGCAATGACCCAGAAGCTCCTCTGAGCTACCCCACACTAGCTGGATTTCAAATGGTTATTTCCAAGTGTTGGCAGAAACAAACAACTTGCCAACAGTCAGTAAAACCAAAGTACACTACAGATAAATCACAAGTAATCCCTCACAAATGCTGAATGGATCCGTACAACCCACAGTGAGTCCTATGATAAAAGATGATTGAGCATGTAAGCCTAAATTAAAGCCGAAAATCGTAACCCCATTTTCCCCATTAACCCTTAAATTCATTTTTCTTCATTACCCCTGAAGTTTGTGCTTCATAGACTTGTCATGGGAATTTTCAAAAAACATAATTCCCATGAATAGCTGTACAGTACAGTGCACACTCGTTTTTCACAGATTTTGTATTTGCAGTTTTGACTATTTGCGGATTTTCATCAGAAATATATGAGCACAGTTTTTTCATTGCAACTGGTATTACTGATTTCATATGCGGTTGAATTGTGCGCACAAACAAGTATTACATGTGGTTATGTATTTAAATACCAATAATACTAACATGTGTGTTATACAGTTATGTTCTTTTTATATCAGTCACCATTGCAAGAGCAGTTTGGTTTTCTATGAAAGATATAAAAGATGTATGTCCTTTGAAATTTGTTGATACAGATCCACAATCCCTTATCTGCAATTCCGAAATCCGAAAAGCTCTGAAAACCAAGAATTTTTCATGAAGCATCACTCGTGTGCATGACATACCCAGAGTGATGTCAAACATGACCCGACGAGCCCAAGCTTTACCCACTCAGGTGTAAGGCGTCAGTTGTATCTCAGCAGAATATAACTTGCATTGCTGGAATCCTTGCAAGACAGCATTCGTTCGTTATAGGATAAATCCGTTCCAGGCCCCCAAATACAACCACTTAACACTGAAAAAATTCTGAAGAAAATGTAAAAAATACGGTACTTTATCTTACCTTAGTGTTGTTCAGCATGCAGGACAGGAGGCAGAGGGGGAGGGGGGAGGAGGAGGGGGGAGGAGAGAATTATGGAAAAGAGGTGGAAGGGGAGGAGTCATCCTTCCTAGCCCTCTTTGGTGACTGTCTCACCAATACCAGTATTGGTGATAGATATTGGGATAATGACAGAACCGAGATAAAAAGTACCTTAAACTCGAGGCGAGGTTGGCGGGGTAGAACCTCCATTTCTGCGATGGGGACACTGATGTCAAAATTGTCTTTATAAAGGAGACTGTTGACAAAAGAGAATATCATTAATTAAAAAAAAATCTAAATTTAGTATATGAAGACAAACAACTATTTTATTCTACCATCCTTATTTTCAGTACTATACTTAATGAAGTGATCAGCCCCATAAAGCCACACAAATATTTACAAATGTTCTGTGTCATAAGGTACACATTAAAAAGCTTCACATCTGCTCACTGTCCACTTTTCTTTTCCCACTGATGCAGACTGAACCTTCTTTGGTTTTCCACTCTCAAAAATTACTTCTCATTAGTCATTCCCTTGACCACAGTAACTTACTGCATCCTAGTGGACCATTTAATCACACTTACTTAAATCTTCAACACAAAACCATTCAGTACACCCTACATTATTGTAAACCCACTAGAAAAAGTATCTGATTTTTTTTTTTACTTTTTGAATTGAATTGAAAGTTTATTTAGCCAGAAAAATACAATACAGAGTGGATAATAATAACAATATTAACATGGCTGAGCCAGTTGAGAACCTGAGCTCTCTTTTAGGCACCTGATATATACTATACATTTATCGCAAGGAAGTATTATGTAACATTTAGTATCATCTGGAATAGTACAATAGCATGGTGGTAATAAGAACATCCCATAATGTTACCACGGTTATCACTTCAATATTTATTAATTTTATTTATTTATTATTTTTTTTAGTTTATTTTTTTTTATATACATATACATAAATTACAGTGGAATTGAAAAACATAAGTATAATGGGGGGGCAGTACAACATGGGTTGCACAGTAATAAGGTTGAACAAGAGGACAGAGCTGTCAGGATTATGTCTAGTTGGCAATTAAGTTTACCCCGGTATTGCAATGGTAATTACTTATCTATTTACATGATAATTTCCGATAAAACGGTTTTGATGGTACAATAAAAGCAGGTACTGTACTGTAAATATAGTAGGTGTTACAAGAAATATTAATACTTAGACAATAGATATTTTTTAAGAGATGATTTAAAGGAAGGGAGTGTTGTCTTTGCTCGGATGGGTGGGGGTAAGTTGCTCCACACCTTCACACCGTGATATTTTATGGAGGTCTGGGACTGAGAGGAGCGCATGGGGGGTGGTTTTAGTAGCTCTGGGTGCCTTAAGTTGTATCTCTGATTATTCCGGAACTGGAAATAATTATTGTCAAGCAAGTGATTGATAGATTTATAAACAGAGGGCACAGCAGTAGGTGTTAATATCTTTGAATTTTAAATTTTCAATATAGCAAATTTTTTGTTTGTGTGATCTGTTTTTTTCAAGTACTGTAGGTCATTGTCCGTACAACTCTCTTTCGTGCAGAAACCAGAGATTGTGTTTTTGAAGAGCCAGAGGCCCCCCATAGTGTGTGACAGTGTATCAGGTGTTGGTAAAGAAGATCATGATAGATTTCTTTCATTGCTGTGAGAGTGAGTGACTGTCGAGTGTGATACATGATACCGCACTGTTTATTGACTTTACTGTGAATGGCTTGTATGTGGTTTCTCCAGTTAAGTTTCTCATCAACAATAACTCCGAGGAATTTAGTATTTTATTTGTGTTTAAGGACTGTATTACCAAGGTACAGGGGGTCCAAATCTGGGGGTAATTTTTTCCTTCTGTGAAAGATCGTGTAGTGGGTTTTCTCAAGGTTTGAGGTCAGTTTATTACGTATTACTCAGGTCCTGACTTTAGTTAATTCAGTGTTCATAGTTCTCACCAAGGAATGGAGGTCTGAGTTGCTGGCATAGAGATTACTATCGTCTGCAAATAAGTTGTATTTTATGAGTGTGCTGGCGTGGACTATGTCATATATGTACAACAAAAACAGTACTGGACCAAGAATGGAACCTTGGGGAATGCCATACAAGATTGGCGAGGAGTCAGATTGGTGAATATTATAGCAGACATACTGCATCCTGTTGGACAGATATGAGGCCAACCAATTGTGGGACAGGCCCCCAGGCCCCTAACGCCGTAATGTTCAAGCTTTGAAAGGAGGATGGTATGGTCGACAGTATCGAAGGCTTTAGAGAGGTCCAAGAATATACCGACTGTGAACTGACTGTCATCAAAGGAATTTAAGATGTCATTAGTAAAGGATAGCTGAGCACTCTCAGTCGACCTTCTAGCTCTAAATCCAAACTGGGAGTCTGTAAAGATGTTATTGGCATTGCAGAAGGAATTTAGTCTATTACATGCTAGCTTTTCCAGTATCTTACTCAAGGCTGGGAGGACTGATATGGAGCGGTAATTCTTGAAGAGACCTTTGTCCCCAGATTTTTTATATGCTGGGTGAACTTTAGCAATTTTCAGTTTATCCGGAAAGACACCACTAGTGAAGGAGGAGTTACAAATGTGTAGGGGAACAGGTAGTAATAAGTGGGCTACTAGAAAATATGACATAAGAGACGAAGCATTTTGATGACCCTACCGAGACAACAGGAGCCAATGTTCATATTGACATCCATCGAACCCCACCTTGCAGATACTTTCTGTAGCAAGTGTACACAAGGTTGCAATCATACATGTGTAAATATTTCTTAAACAAAAGAAAGGTTTAACAACCAACAGATTAATCATTTACCAACCCTTTGGCTGTGATGCTCAACTCAGATTGAGGACATCTGAGATGAGTCTGCAGCCATCAAAAAACACTTTAAACACCCTGTGTAGTTTACCAACTCACTCCCAATTAAAAAATGGTTGCAGACCTACAGACGCTGCAATCTCCCCACACCAGAGTCAAGGCCATGACATAAAGAATATGCATCAATTTTCAGCTGATGCTCGCAAGCCTCCCACAAAGTAATTTATTAATTATCCCCTGTTTTCACCATCATTTTATGAATTTCATAATATCCTGATATATTATATGAATGTATGTTATGTATTATACTCCATGGGAGTTAATTGCATAAATCAGCATACCTCACTCTCATTGTTTGTGTATACTGTACAGTATTGTTCTGAGATAGTGATGTGTGTTGCAATGTTGCGTGGTATCACAGTAATCTTTTGAAATGTTCAATAGATTTTACATTTTTAATTTAGTTTTGTACAAAAATGTTCTCCAGAACATATTTTTTTTTTTTTACAAAAAGAATACTCTAAGAGTCTGTACATGAAACTTCTTACAGCACCAGAAAGTCACATGATGTCACCAAATTACACCTTTTCACATATCCGTTGAGACATTGTTACAAGACTATTTGACAAATTTCATAACCGAATAACAGACAACACATATTGAATGACAATCTAAAATAACTGTTGGTGTTATGTCATTCTCCAATTGTTACATTCTCAAACTATATATAGACTGTCGGTTTATTGTTCACGTCTGTCAACTTCATAACTTATGTCAATCATTTCCGTTACCATGAACAAACAGTTATTTTAGATTGTCATTCGATATGTGTTCTGTCATTCGGTTATGAAATTTGTCAAATAGTTATGTAACAATGTCTCAACGGATATGTGAAAATGTGTATTACAATTAAAAAGCCCTGAGCATTTGTACTGATGTCACTAATCCACTCAATTGTGCGCCAATTATATTTAATGTCAGACATGGACACAGAATCAGACATATAGGCCTGAGGCCTTTGTTCAGAATAAAAATGAGAAAGAAATTTTTTTTTACAGATTCCCAGACCTCATGATTTGTTAGGAATATGGCAGATACAGCACTCTGAAGACTCAGCTTATAGTACATAAGGAGAAAGTATGGCTAGCACTGCACTTTACCACCTTTCACTAATGAACCTGTAAAGTTAGGTACCCATTCTGCAGCTGGGTCAATTGGAGTTACCCTTCTCTTAAGCCAAGTGTAGGACTCAAATTGGCAACCAGTCAGAAGGCTGCCAAATCCTTTGTAAGTAACAAAATTAAGTATAATTATTTAATTAAATAATATTAAAGCTTTTGCGGTTCCATAAGCCTATTAGTTAATGTCCTACCTGAACTCTGGGAATGCTGGTGTGTTGGCAGCATGCATGGTAACTCCTTCGTTTCCTGGCCCTGTCCACTGAAGACCAACAACGACACTGCTGCCCGGTACCCCCATCTGAGCCCGCACCCCTGTCACCTGTCACAATATTATCTGTGTTACCACAAGTAATTCTGAAGAATGGTTTTTAATGACATATATGAGGACCTGATCTGGAAATCCCATTTGATACCCGAGCCTGGACTAAACGACTCATGAATATACCTCCTGAAGGCTTGAGGTTCAGAAATTCATGGGCTTAACTCAAAGATCAACAATTTCCCCTTCAACAAATCAATCCTTTAAATTAGGGTTAAAACAAACAGTACAGTACAGGTGTCTCCAACCTTTATACACTAGCTGGTTACTTAATGGTGCATGTAATCAGTGATCAGCCGCAGGTGTACTAAGACAACATAAGTCAGCACTGCGTTCCACAGAATTGAATGTAAAATCAGAAATGCAGGACTATATTTTATTGTCAGAAATTTTTTATAAGCAACACCCCTATTTAAGACCAAACAAAGCTTTCATTTCCAGCATATAAATACTCAGCATTGAAATAATACCACTAGTCACTAGCCTAGTTAAATACTCTGTACAGAAATTAGGGAAACATAACCTTTAGCATTACAAATATGGAAATATGAAACTGTCTTTGAACAGTACAAAATAACGGTTTAATAACCGATTCGCACCCGAAATACAAGCATACAGAGGAAATTGCTTTATAAAGTAGCATTATGAGCATTATGATATCCTGCAGTACACAGTACAATAACCCCCCCCCCCCAAAAAAAAGAATTTATTATAAATGACAGAAAAAAATGTCCTCCATGTGTAATATTCCAGTAAAATAAAGTTTGCTTTTTGTCTAGGAAAATAAGGGCTTCAATTCTAAATACAAATACACAGAACAATACCAAAACCAATATGAGGGTTGAGCCTGGATATAAATTGCAATTTCTGAAAAAGTTGGTTCAAAATGTGTTACAGCAGCCTTCACAAGTTCTGTGGTGTGACAGTTTGTTAGCTTATAATGGTACTTGTTCTTCACAAAGTTAAGTACACTGAATGTCTGCTCACTGCAGTATGTTGATCCAGCAGTATGTTGATTTCCCTGCTTTTTATTTTCACCTAAATTATAAGGAATAATAACAGTCTTACAAACCCAAAATTTAGAAGTCACTCAGCCGGCCACATACATACTACCCCTTCTCCAGCTGCATGCAACCACAAAAATGGGGGTTGTGGAAACCTGACCTAGAGGCTGGGAGCTAATGAGTTATGGTCACTGCATAGCACTTGCCCAAGCCATTCATCTTTTATTCAGGCTCAGCTATAAAGCAGGAAACTGAACTACCTCATCACCCGCCCACCTCCGTGGACAATCTGAAGGAGGTGGGTGTGATCAAGGTTATTTTATCTAGACTTCAAAATCAATTGGGATTTCAAGTTATATCCTTCATTTATTAATTACACCTCTCTACAACAACTCGTGAAAGGAAAAATCAGGGAGAGGGTGGGAAAAAAGCTAGAGTTGTACAACTACACACCTCTTTACCAGTTATGATGAGTGAAAGTTAGTCTTTACTAACTTATGCAACTCCCATGTGTTGCCCAAGTCATCTAGAGAATGAACAACAGCCAATAGAGGCACAATTGTTTTTTACCATAATACAGTACTGTACATGCAAAAATGGGTTGGCCTACGATGATATCCTCTGACCGATTCTTCCAATGTTAACAATATACAGGAAAAACAAAAACACTGACAATACTCTCCTTGATGCTGAGGCAAGTAAGCCACCTACAAGATAATTCATTCGGCCTCAAGACGAGTTTATAAATTTATAAGTAAAGAGCTAAGCCCAACACCAGCCAAAATGGAGCATGCAAATGCTCACCAGAGCACAATGGAAGAATTTCAGTTAACCTAAAAAGTTGCATGGTCTGCTCAGATGCAGGCAGTGATGAAATCGTTGCTTTCTTTGAAGTACACGACACTGGCCAAACAGCTGAGCATTTGAAAGCCTTTTTTTTTTGTTGGACAATGGGCATCAACCAATAACAAACTCTAAAGCTAACTACTATATTTTGTCTTTGTTTTCCTTAATATCAGACAATGTTTGTTTAGAAATGCCAAACTCCTGCATGATCTTTGCTCCAGTAATGCCAATTTCAGGCATCTCAGTTATTTTTAACTTATTTTCGAAAGTTATAGACACTTTTCATTTTCCTTCACTATTTCCCTTTTTGGAACACAACCCCCACATAAAGTATGAGTGTCTCAGAGAAGCCAGCTTATGTGAACAAGATAGTTTTATGCTGAATGTGTTTTGCTATGATCCATGCTTCAGAGAACTTTTATCATTACCACAAGTCTGATGGACATTTTCTTTCAATTGGGTGTATTCACAGCACTGCCAGTGGAATGTCCAATATCCTCAGACATTAAAAACATTGCAATATCAAGGTTACATGTTATTCAAACACCTTAAATATTCACAGAGGAGGTAGTGTACCTTATGTCAGACAGACAAGAGCTACTGTACATTGTTAAATAGTTGTAAAGTATACAAGGTATAAATGGACACCTGACTACTCGGGCAACAACTTCCATATAACTACTGCACTGTTGTTACCATGTTACAATCACCACAGAACTAAATGATAAGAGTATCAAAAGAAAAACTCCAAACAGCCAATGTTGCTGTATACCTGTACTCACCAACTACAAGATGATGAAAAGAGAACCAGAAATAAAAATATAAAACTGCTTTACATAAACTATACTTCAATTCATAAAAAAAAAAGAACAGTATTGCCATCTTAAGCAGTCAGTAAACAGTATTTGTTCATCATAAAATTTTTGGCAATTGTGAATCTACATAATCTTTTTCTTTATCGTATAATTTCTTTATATACTCACTTTGACTTTCTTGCCAACATCCTCCACAAGAGGGACAAAACTGAGATGGATCTCTGTCACTTGGCCTGGGAGAAGGACTAGCTTTTCTGGCTGTGTTTCCAAGAGTCGATCATTGTAGGAGGGGGAGTTGGTGCCAACACTCACAGAGCTCAATGAGATGGACGTCAGGTAGGAGTTTCTGAGAAGGATATCAAATGGTCTACTGGTCAGTTTTTACTTACAATATTAAAAAAAATATTCAAGCAAAATCATGTTTCTGTAAAAATTTTGTAAAGGCCAGTACACAAACACATCTAAACCAGCAATAACTATATATGATGAAAAGAGGTGGTTTAAGCAGGTATGAGAGAATGCCACTATAAAAATTTATTCTATTTTCCATATACTGTTCTGTACTTTCAGTGGAACACACAAAACATCACCAAAACCTTAACTATTGAAGACTACCTAAGGAAAATCATGTTTGCTGTTAAATTATCTTAAATGTAGGAGGTATGAAGTGGTGGTGTTAGCAGGTGTGAAAGAATGTCATTGTCAGAATTTACGTAATGTTTTATTATACAATAAGGGTCTATGTCAGTGAATAACCCCCCAAAAAAAAATTGGGATTTTAATGTAATAACAAAAACAGTAACAATAAAGGTTTTCTTCTTAATGTCTTTTCTATTTTCAATTCTGTCCCTTCTCCTCTTTGTGTTTTTGTCAATCCACTCTCTTGTACAGTCTGCGCGGAATGTTAGATCGAGTGCTGAAAAAATATTGATATTTACGATTATGTTATATAAATAAAGTCAAGTAACACTTACCACTTCAATTAATACTTTGTAGTGTTTCCACTGTGCTTCAGACAGTCTTTTAGCCTTCGAGGAACACTGTCAGCAAGGTTTTGCAAGAGGTCAGGTGGCAGGTTAGCCCAGGTATCCTTGATGGCTGCCTCTAGTTTCGGGATTGATGATGTGTCAGTGTTGCGCAGACGACGCTTAACAATGGACCACAAATTTTCTATTGGGTTAAGATCTGGGCTACTGCCAGGCCAGTTATTAAGGAAAGGTACCTCACAGTCTTTGAGCCACTGTATGACACTTTTAGCAGTGTGGCATGGGGCACCGTCCTGCATGAAAAGGCTTGCCTTAGCTTTGTCAAATGATTCAGGTAAGAAATCACTGAGCAGTTCAAGATAGTTGTACTGATTTATCATCTGGTTCTTAGGGAGGATTACTAGTTCACCAACACCATAATACGTAAAGGAAGCCCAAACCATAAGCGAGGCAGGGTGCTTAACAGTCTTCACTGTGTACTGTGGGAGGTGCGCGTCTGAGTGTAGGGGTCGGTACACCCTCCCTCCATTACTCCCAGTCACAGAAAACGTAGCCTCATCCGACCATAATACACTCCTCCATGTCTCTAAATCCCACACTTCATATTTCTTTGCAAAATTTCACTCTATTTTCCTTCTGTCTCTTTGTCAACAGAGGTTTACGGCGGGCACGAAAACTCTTAAATTCCAGGTCATCGTGCAGGGCTTGTTGAACACAACGTAACGAGACGTGACTCAAAAGACGGGGGTTTCTCTCTTTCACTTCACGTGCTGTGAGTGAGGGATTGGACCGAACTTGTCGAGAAATAACCTTAAGTGTCCGTGGAGACAATAATTTAGGCCTACCAGACTTAGGTAATGGAGCTGGTAACTCGTTCTCTCCAAGGTCACGGAAACGTTTGACAAGATTTTGAACTCGTAATGCCACACCAGTCTGAGCCGATATTTCTCTCAGTACATGGTTCGCTTTGTACAATGCAATCACTGCTGCAATATCGTCTCCTGTAGTAACCCTCCTGGACATCTCTGATGGCCACTATGTCGGGTTAATGCACCTTAAACTAGACAAAACATGGCCACATGGCGCGAGAACCCGCACAAAAAATCTTCCCCTCACAGCTGCCACAGGCGCACTGACTACAAGCCATGACGTGTTCTCAGTTGCCAAATGTCAGCACTAGCCAACAAACCAAGCGTTTTGACATCTCGCATCCCAGGACAGGCTTCACAACACATGATCTTATTTTTGCGAGAACTTAGTTCGTCGGCCCTATCGCGACTTAACATTCCGCGCAGACTGTACACTGTCCAGTACAGGTATATCCCGATAACCAACACATATAGGGACCGTGAAAAGTTGTTGGTTAGTGAATCAAAGCTTATCAAAGCAATTAATCACATTAGAATATAACTAATCCAGGAGGTTAGGGACTGGCCACACCCAAAAAATTCCCATCTACCCTTGATATACCTCTGTTGTGCAGTGTCAAGCAAGAAAATAAAGCAGACATATAAAGCAAGCATAATAAACATTAAATAAGGAATGTAAAGCATAAACTGAGACTTATTTACCTGTGTTGATGATGGTAGAGATGGTCTAGGATGGCAAGTTCAAGTCTCTACCAATCCTTGCTGGTCTTTAGGCACGATTACGTAACACATTAAGTTGGAAATAACGAAAAAATCAAGTCTCTACCAATCTTTGCTGGTCCATCACCACTTTTATTATGCCTTATTACACCGTATCACATCACATCAAGCTAAACCCAAAGACGGGTAACACAAAAGGAACTGTCACTGCAGAGAGCCAGGAATGGGTCAGAGGCAGTGCGCCGAGCCCTCTCGTGGCAAGAATTCGAATCATGCCACTGCCCGCCAAATTCAAAAAGCTCTGCAGCTCCTATCCTGATCGCCGGATCTCTAGGGTCTCAACGAAACTTGCAGGGTATTTCTCCTATATTCCCCTATATGTAATCATCGGTTATGTGAATCAGCAATTAATGGGACATTGGTTTTCGGGGTATACCTGTACACTATTTTTGTATTTAGTGCACAATTCTTGTGAACTTATGTAATATGATGTTATACCACACAAATATATGTCATTTTATTTTCATAAACACACTGGTGATTTATGAGTGATAAATAAATGTTGGAGATGGGAATGGTCTCAAAGTTCCTGGAATCAAACCTCATTTTCCCCATAAGATCATTGTCTCTCTCTGCAGTTTTGATGTTCGTGGCCTTTTCCAGGAATACCGAGAGAAATGTGTAGTGCCAGTAAATACTGTGTGTACAAACACAAAAGGTCAAAGCAATGTCAGCAACTATGTTAGTCCTAATAATGAATACTCTGGTGAACATAAAATATAATGACTGCACCTGATCTTGACTGTCACGCCCACTTCCTGGTCCACATGAAACTGGCTCCGTGTGAACGACGCTCGTACCTCCAGGCATGGCACTAAGGTTGTCATGTCTACTGTGACGGGTGATACTTGACTTCCTAGTAGAGCAGACCACGCTTCTGTTGCTACAGTAACAACTTCTGCAGGTGTTCCTGGTTCAGGGTCTGGAGACTGTCCCTGAGTGGAGATTATTTAAGAATTTAAAAAATATACAGTACAGTATAGGATTATTTTTTCACTCTTGAACCCTCAATAATTACTATATTTTAGGACATGCAATAAACAGGAACCTAAAAATCAGTAGGAATAAAGTCTGATCATTGAGAAGAACATTTGATTTTCTTCAAAATAATCAGATTTTATTCCTACTGATTTTTAGGTTCCTGTTTATTGCATTATCCTAAAATATAGTAATTATTGAGGGTTTTCAAATAAAAAAATAAATAACCATGTATTAAGATGGAAGCTAACAAAACGATACAGGTACTCCTCGACTTACGACCTATTCGACTTACGACCACCCGGACATACGACCACCGCAGTCGTGCAAAACAAAAATTCAAATTACGTATTTTCGAGTCCCAACGTTAGTGATTGTGCTGTGTACTGACAAATTTTTTTTTTGTATTTCCATTTAAAATGGCTGGCAAGTGTAAAAGTGAGAGTTCTCGTGGTGCTGAGAAGAAAAAGAGACACCTAGAAATTTATGTAAATCTACCCATAGATACAGTTGAAAAAATTTTACATTAGTATTAAAATGTACTATGTACAAAAATTTTTATCTCTTATGCAAAATAAATGATGTTTTTATTCAAATTAATCACTATCTTTTAAGAATTCCAGCAATGCAAATTATATTTTCCTCGGTCACCTCTATGACATTTTATAAGCAAAAAACAAAAACTCAATCTAAAGGACATAATTAAACAAATAAATACTTCACTAGACCTTCGGTGCCAACTTTCAAACATGTCACTGTCACCTCCCCCCCCCCCCTCCAGGGTTTGGTGGTTTTAGGCTTATGGTTTTTATATTATATAATATCACAAACTAAAGTTAGGACAATATAATTTGCATTGCTGGAATCCTTGCAAGACAGCGAATAATTTGAATATAAACGTCATGTATTTTGTACAAGAGATAAAAATTAATCACCTGTATCACATTACAGTAGTGATTTTAGAGTTCATATATATATATATATATATATATATATATATATATATATATATATATATATATATATATATATATATATATATATATATATATATATATATATATATATATATATATATATATATATATATATATATATATATATATATATATATATATATATACACACACACTATATACAGTATAGTCTGCATTTACGCGGTTTTTGTTTACGCGTTTGGTCATTTACGCGGTGCCTTGCCAGAATGAAAATGCTTTAATTACGCGGTAAATTTGGTCATTTACGCAGGCGAGCAGCTGGAGAGGTCCAGACCGCCGCGCCATTTTTTACCCACGAGGTCCATTCTTGACCATATGCGGGAAGCGGCGTGGTGAGTGGTGCACATTAGGCCGCTCTTACGTTATCGCTGACGTCATATGACGTATCGGACTGTGATTGGGCCACGCATCCTTACCACCCACGCATTCCCTCCGCCGCTAGCTGTGATTGGTCTAATGTAACATGACGTGCCCTGCCACCAGAGGGTAGAAGTCGCTGACCTAGCCGGGCCTGTCTCATTGTTCTCAGTCCGCGTATACAGTTCTCTCTTGTGCCCGCTATTCCCCTCACAATGGCTTCCGCGGGACCCCCACCACCAGAGAAAAACCTTGAATTACCTGGACCAAGCCATGATAATGTGAAGGAAATCATCGAGTTGGGGGAGAAAATTAAGCTCATCCTTGACAACGACCCAGACAAGCATCGGTATGAAGTGTCTAATAACCATCTGACGAAATTATGGAGCCGTATATCCAGATCTATCTCGACAACATCAATGCTAGTCGTCAACGTAGTATTGAGGACTTCCTCGCCCGCAACCCACCACAACCACAGCCAGCCCAAGTCAGTGATAGTGATATTGACAGTGAGGATATGGACTTTGAGGGGTTTGTCTGGGAGGCCCTGCAAACCTCTGCGAGTAGTGAAAGTGATTCACCGGAGGGCAACTAATCTGCCCTCTGCCTCGGAACCAGCCGCCATCCACGTGTGCCGACCCAGCTTTTCTACTAACGTAAGTGTTAAAAAACCTAATATTATTGATATTTCTCTTAATTATTAATTGTGTGTGCATACCATCATAAAATTAAGATGTTATTTTTACTACAACGTACGTATTGTGTCGGAAAAAGTGGAGTTTGGGGGTCGGCCCAGTCTCTATTTCAATTAATCCCATATGTTCTGTTATTTCATTTACGCGTTTCTCGTTTTACGCGGGCCTCCACAGGTTCAATTGACCGCGTAAATGAAGACCCCAACTGTGTGTGTGTATATATATATATATATATATATATATATATATATATATATATATATATATATATATATATATATATATATATATATATATATATATATATATATATATATATATATATATATATATATAACTTGGTTATCGCGATTTTCGTTATCACGCCTCCATTAAAATCTGCACACCTGCTGTTATAGCACATTTTTCAAGCCGAGAATTTTGTTATCACTCAGTTGCCTCCAGGTGTATTGTTACCCCCTTGCTTCGCCTACATCTATTGAGGATAAAATCTTTCACCTACAAATTGACAATAACACATTTGCTGTAATCAGACATATCTAGTTGCCTCAACAATTGCAACCCCAGTTGCAATTGGGGTTGCAATTTCAAATTCTGTGGCATTACTAAAAATAGTAAAGTTTCTGGTGCACTCTAAGATTAAGAGAGAAAACGGAGGACTCAGGCATCCTGATGTGAGAGAAAACGGACTCGTATGACGGGAGACCAAATAAAAAAAGCATAGCTACATGTTTTGTGGACTACAGTATTAAGCGTACCCTTTTCATCACTTTGTAATAAACCTAGCCATGCCTATGTGTGTTTATGATATTTACCATAACATTATATATATATTTAGTGGGTATAAATGGTCGTAAAATGGGAAACTTGGGGTTGGGTCTTGGGTGCCTGGAACCAATTAGAATAAATCCCATAGGTTCTGTACTTTTGTTATCGGCGGGGTCCCAATTAGGGGCGATAACCAAGGGATGACTGTATATACTTGTGACACTGGCCAGTTGCTTCTGGTGTTATGGTACAGGGGTACCAAGTGACAGCACTAGGATCCCACTTCCTCTATCAAGGAATAAACAATTAAAATTTAAATTGAAAAAAAAACATTCAAATAAGTTACTATCTTACAAGAATCCCTCCAATGTAAGTTATACTCACCCAGGTCGTTTGGGTGGCAAATTATGAGAAGAGCTTAGTCACTCTTAAGTAATGATAAATAAACACGTAGGCAGGCCTTCAGCACCAACTGTCAAATCTTATCTCAAATAAATAAACAAACAAACGCCAGACATTCTGTCACCTCACCTCCCGCCCCTCCCACCCCCCCCTCTCTCTCTTCCCACCACCCTCGTGTTCAAGATAAAAGATTGGTGATTTCTTTATGTTTATTTTATATATCTCAGACTAAAGTTACGATAATATAATTTGCATTGCTGAAATCCTTGCAAGACAGAGATTAATTTGAATATAAACGTCATATATTTTGCTCAAGATATAAAAAATGTAGTACATTTTATAAAAAGTTTTTCAACTATTTTTGGGTAGATTTACATAAATTTCTTCATTTATTTTCACCCATTTACATTCACACACAATACTAAAATAAACGTAAAATAAATTAGTGCAAAGCTGGACTGCACATGTACTAATTTGATTACGGTACTAAAATTGTTATATCTAGTGCAAATTATAACATGTTTATATTAAAATAAATCAGTATCTTACAAGAATCCCAGCTATGTTAATTATATTTCCTAGGTCATATCACTGGCATTTTAAAATGAGAGAAGCTTAGTAGGACTGTTAAATAAACACACAGAGACCTTCGCCTCAAACTTATCACCTCAACCCCCCCCCAACCCCTCGCTGGGTGGCGGAGCCATCAGTCCCCCCCAAGCCAGGCTTTTAGGCTTTCAGTTTTTATCTTATAAAATATCTCAGACTAAAGTTAGATTATAATTTGCATTGCTGGAATCCTTGCAAGACAGCCAATAATTTGAATATAAACGTCATATATTTTGCTCAAGAGATAAAAATTGTTTTACATTAGTGTACAGTACTGTAGTACATTTTATAAAAAAGTTTTTCAACTGTATTTTTGGGTAGATTTACATAGATTTCTTAGTGCAAAGCTGGAGTGCACATGTACTAATTTGATTACGGTACTAAAATTGTTTTGTTTAGTGCAAATTATCGCATGTTTATATTCAAATTAATCAGCATGTTAAAAGAATCCCAGCTATGTTAATTATATTCACCCAGGTCATTTCACTGGCTTTTTATAAGAGAGAAGCTTAGTCACCTAAGAAGTGATAAATATACACGCGTTAGACCTGGGCCTGTACCAACTGTCAAACGTACTACCTCCCCTCCCCCCACGCCCCCTCGCTCGCTCCCACCCTCTCTCTCCCCCATCTGCTGGCATTGCTGGAATCCTTGTAAAACAGTGAAAAATTTTAATATAAATGTCATGTATTTTGCACAAGAGATAAAAATTAATCACCTGTATCACATTACAGTAGTGATTTAAGAGTAAAAGTGTATATGTACATATATAGTATTCCATATACACATAAGTATAAATAAAAAGTTTATGTGATGATCGGACAACGTCCATTTCGGTTAATGTCACGTTTCCAAGAACGTATCTAGGACGTTAACCGGCGCATGACTGTGTGTGTGTGTATGTATGTATGTATGTATATATATATATATATATATATATATATATATATATATATATATATATATATATATATATATATATATATATATATATATATATATATATATATATATATATATATATATATATTACCCAATAGTGATAATGATTATAAAAAAATTATCTGTGGGAGTTACATAAGTTTAAATAAGCTTACAGAAGGTACAACCAGTGCCGGATTTAGACCTGTGGAGGCCCATGGGCAGCCTCTTTGTGGAGGCCCCCTCATTATAACTACCCAAGAGGGTGGGGTGGCGAGTGAAGCGAGCCTAAACATCTGGGAGTTCCGGGGGGCGCTGTAAGCCCCCGGAAAATTTTGAAATTTGAACACTTCTTTGGAGAATTTTGAAGCCATGATGGAATAGATAAACATGATTTTTAAAGAATGAAAATAAAAATAATCCAAATGAATAAACAAATAAATAAAATATTGTAATATGTGGAGGCCCCCAGATTGTGGAGGCCCCTGGGCAGATGCCCACTTTGCCCACTCCTGAATCCGGCCCTGGGTAAGACAAAGAAATTAATATTTTGTAAGTGATGAGTGGTAAACAATTAAAATACTTGGGGAAATGTGTCATAAATATAGTATAAGGATGAAGGAGATTCTGCCAAGGATACTCTGCTATAGGCTGGGAAAAGATTTAACATTAGGGGTCCCTGACTTACGAACACCCGCCAATATGAACGGGGTTAAACTTAAAATTTACAGTATACAGGATTTTATTTATCTGATGACTTACTTTTTACTTTCATTTACTGTATTTTTTCATTCTATTTCTTCTTTTGTTTTAAATTAAGTGATATTAGTTGTATATAAGGACTTAGGCTATGATATAACGGGATTCTAAACATTGTTTTGTAAGTACGGTATGCACGTAGCGTGTGTTCCAACTTACGTACAAATCAGACTTAACAATGTCCTCAGGAACAGAACCTGTTCGTAACCTGGGGACCCCCTGTACTGAAGTGGTTTCCATTCACCTCTTCAATACAGGGACACCACTTTAATGTTTTATATGGCTAATGCCCAATGATTTTATTCAACTCAAGAGGGGAACTTATATACAAGAGGTTAATTAAGCATTGAATAAATAAGCACGATATTAAAAACATGCAGACAAACAATACTTACACTAAACAGCTTCATAAGATTATCATGCACCCTCTTCTTTTCTTCCAGTGATGTCAAAAGTTTTGTGCCCATAAACTCAAGGGCTATGCCAAAGTACTCTGTGAGAGCAGCAGTGTTATATGCACACTGGAGTGCTAAAGTACAGGCTGATGAGAGGAGACTCCACCACTTCTCACTGCGGTAGTCCCACATCACATGGTTCAGTAAGCTACAGATGCCACAAAAAAAGATAAAAGAATTGTAGACATTTGCTATGAAAAGCAATGAAATACATATTTAAATTGTGTACTGTATTTGTTTACCTCACTGTTTCCCTGTCTTTCTTTTGTGTGTAGATGCAAACACAAGATTAAAACAGATCTAATTATCCTATGTAACAGTAAATATCAAATTTCACCCAAACTATCTTAAACTAAACATTATTTAATCGAGCAACTGTGAATTCACATTACTTAGCATTAATGTTGAGATTCGCCTTCATTAATCTCTCAACTAATTAGAAAAGATATTAAAGTATACCGTACACCAATGTGTATAAGTTACCCAGGCAGTATCCTTCTGGAAAATCAATATGTTTGAACTTCCACCAATGATGAGTCTCACATTTGCACTATAACATCCCAAATAACCTGCTCAGATTCTCAAACTCTGCACTCACCTGCAATTGCCATAATATCTCATTTCTGTTCTTCATTTTGATTCTATCATTCTTTATCTTTTCATTGATTCCTTAATTTTAGTTTATCCATTGTGTTGAAGTAATTTTCATTCTGTTTGTAAAATTATATTTATTACCTCACAGGAGATGTATCTATGATGGTTAAAGCAACAGCTATAGTTCTTCCTCAATTATTTCATATATTTCATGATATGAGGAATGTCAATCAACTATTAGTTCTACAGCAAATACCATCACCTGACCAGAGCCAATGCCAGTGTGTCCTAGTAAATCTACAGCAACATGTCCTGTATATAATAGTTTGCATTGTATTGCACTTACGAAAGTTAAGAGGGAGACACTAATAGCATGAGACATTTAATACTAATCTAAATGGCAGAAATAAAACCTTAACTTGCTAGGACTCTGTTCATAACCAGAATTGGGATGAACACAAATGAAATGACAATAAGGGATTGAATTATGAAATCCCATTCTGTGACTGCATCCATGCACATTTAAGCAATTCAGTCTCCTTCTTTGTTGTTTCTTCTCTTTCATTACTGAATACATGGGAGATTTAATTACCAGCCCCAAAACCAGGGACAGAAATACAACATCCCCCTACCAGGTGATCTGTTCCCTTGATTTAATAAAACATAAAGTAAAGCCTTAGCTAAATACTTCGAAATACTGTACTGTACTGTACTGTACATATCTAGGATTCAAGCACAAAAAAGAACTTGTATCACAGATCATGACTTCAGTAGTGCCGATGACGAGATGACAAATGTATGGACGGACTTACGTGAGAGCTTTGGAAGAGTCATTGGCTTGGTGATACTCTTCTGCCATCTGGACCATCAGGTGTCTCTTGATGCGTGGACATCGGTATTTCTTAAACTGACTTATTGCCGAAGAAAATAATGGAATGATGGTGTTGGAATGGTTTACTTCTTTTACCTCATGATACTGGATCTCCTGAGATAATAAATTAAAGTCTTATTATACAAGTCGTACTTTAAATCTTTCTGAAAACAAAACACGAAACATTTCTCTTACAGGGCCAGAAGTAGAGAAATGTTTCTCTTCTTCCTAGACTTTTCATTTGTCCTTCATTTTTAAAGTCCTTAATTCTGGCTTTAAACTAAATCAACAAGTGATTACAAAAAAAACTTGTTTACAGCAGAGTTATGATAAGGTGACTGGTATATTTTATCACTTAAATCTATGAGATGCAAGCCCCCTACATCAATGGTTCTTACATATCAAATAATTATTACAACTCTCCTACCACAATCCTTTCCCTTCACAGGTGTTATTTAGTTTTCAAATTTATCTGTATGAAAACATGTCACACAAAAGAACCTAATTTGGAATGAAGCTATCTAGAGTCAGGAGGGTAAATTTCAGGAGGGGAGCTCAGATGATGAATGCCTGGATTCCAAAATGGTGGTTAAAATCAAAATGGTTGACCAAATCAGAAAAAAGCAACTTCATCCAGCCAAAAACAGCACCAAAAAGACCAACTACAATAAACCCTTGATAACTCGGCAAATTTTATAAATTGGCACGCTGTACTCTCAAAATTTATAAAAAAAACTCTGGAAATGTCGAGTTATACAAAATTATCTTAAAAATCTTGGCATATTTAGCTGCGTGGGTAACAGTGACTATTGTATTGCCCAACAGTTAAAAATACATTATGCAACAGTTTGGTAAGTGATGACAACTGCTGCCAAATAAATGAGACCAACAATTATTTCCTTATTTTTTCTTGAACATGGATGCGAGTTGCAAAATTCAGCCATTAAGTTAAACAACATTGTTGTTGTAATGTGTGTGTGCACATTCATGAAAAGAAAACAATTATAATAGACAAACCAACCTTAATCCCTTCTGCTTCTCTCTGTTGCTCTGGAGGCTCTAGAGAATGCTTCCCTGGCCGCCAAGGACGCTGACCATAGAACTCTAGTTTGCTCCATCCCTCTAGTAAGTCTGACACAGGAGCTGACACTTCCTGTACAAGACATTTAAACTGGGTTAATCTCAATTAGCATTGAAAATTTGAAGCTTCATTGTCACCGAAGGGGAACTTTACTCAACTTTTTCATCGTGGGTTTCAGAACATAATGTGACTTTTCTTTAACAGTACATATGTTAGATAAAGTGGGAATCCTTTAGTAGGTGTATGATGCCTAAATCACATGATCAAGATAAAATAATAATGTTAATGTTACCTTACACACTTGCAGTGCTGTTTTTCTTCTTAAAACAGCATACTGAGCTGCTTGCTGATAGTAGAAACCTGGGTGCTGTGTCTGTACTGCAGGAAGACCAATGCGCACAGCTTCCTCAAATACATCTCCAAAGATCTGGTATCTGCATTAAGTAAAAAAATGTCAACATTAATGGCCAAATTTTCACCATGTAAACAAAGCAGCAGGAATTTAGAATATTATAATTCATCAGGGGTCGAGCATGGGAGCTTTTACTCATAGAAAATATATCTCCACCTATAGAATGGAAATCAGTGTGTTCCTACAGTATATAACAGGGGTGGCCAAACCGCGGCTCGCGAGCCGCATGCAGCTCACGAAAATATATTGGATGAACTCGTTTTTGCATCATAATCAATATAAAAGGTACCAGTAAATAAGAAAAATGATCGAGCTATACATTTATATAACTGAGAGGCCACTGGATTAAAAAATGTTAAATATTCAAGGTAAGTACAGGGAATATTTAAGAATTTAAATCTTAGTTCTAATGCTAGAATTTAGTCGGGTGTCATTCATCAGTGCCGAGTCAGGTTAGTAAATTTCAGATCAGGGATTACAGAGTACTGTACAGTAAAGTCGGAGGGAGGGGCAAGATAGGGGGCCCAGCCTCACGTCTTGACCTGACACATTAATGCAGTGTATTTAACACTGGATGTTGAACTGTCCAGATCTAACTATACTGTAATCCAGGAGTTGAGGCAGCCCGCAAGGACTAATGAAAATTTAAATGGACGCGGCTCAAACTCACAGTCTGACTACCGAGATAATACTGAGCATTTATTGTTGCGATCTTCCCTTCCTAAGGGCCTCTAGAGTTGCCAATTAGTTTATTTGAGAGAACTTACTTGCCACTATGATGCATCAAAATTTGACAAACTGTTGAAAACTTAACTTGGGGAGAATTTTTTAAAGTTTGGCGACTCAATTTGCGTCACCGTGAAGTTGGTCTTATCATGAGTATGACGAGAATCACGTCATCATGCGTGAGAGGTTTAAATGTAAAAGTCTTTTAATAACCATGTTTTACACTTACGGTAAAGACATTAGTTGTTGAAGTGCAGTGCAGTAATAACATAACATAAGCAGTTTTATCTCCATCTCCCCCAGATACAGTTACAGTACTTGCTTTTTTTTTCGGACTGGAGTCTGCCCCAATTAGTCCAATTTATCAAGGTTCTACCTTTCACCTTTTTTTTTTTCCCTTCAACAATCCAATTTTATGTTACGTACTGAAATTCAGACACATGTCTTTCCTGAGATGTGCCAGTACTTCATTATGTATTAAGCATGCTCAGCACAATTAAAACAAACATCACTCAAGATTTGGATAACAATTGGTACATATTTGTACTCCTGATTAATTATTGAAACAAACTTTTACAATTTAAAAATTACACACTGTACATTAGCAAATATTACTGCGTACGTGTATTTCTTAGTAAAATTTGTAATAAAGTGTACACGTAACACTAAAAACGTGTGTATATATTCTTCATGTCTTGCGGCTCTCGAACATCTGAAGATTATCGTATGCGGCTCTTAGGTTAAGCAAGTCTGGCCACCCCTGGTACTGTATATACAGTAATACAGTATTCTAATATATTGTAGATGCTGGCTTACAGGTTCATACTGTTCACTTTGTTTCAAATCTCATCGAGTTTCTCGTGAATACTGGCATAAAATTATTACTGCATTGTATTGTATTACATGTATATGTTTATTATTGCCTAATAATCACGATGTATACCAAAAGTTTCATTAAGAACATGCTTTGTGTTATTTTAAGACATTTTGGATGGGTGATTTTTTCACGGAAATATATCTCAGCTTCTATAAAAGGAGTCAACGGGAAAATGTGATCAGATTACAAAAGATTGGCTTACAAAATTTTTTTAAGAAAGGAACCCTTTCATAAATTGGAAAATGCCTGTACAGCACATAGAATGATATAACACGATTTGATTTTGTGAGACAATTATCACTTATCAGTCTCTCTCTTGTATTATATCGAGGGTCTACAGTACCATTAATTTTGGTGAGAAAAGAAAAATACTTGAGAGGTGATAGTATGGCATTTATTGGTCGCGAACCTGGTTTGGTCCGTTGAACAATAAACACCACATTAGTGAAAGGTAAAACACAAACTATGAAACATGTGCAAAGTGGTGTAGGTAGTCAGCAAATGGATTCAGTAACTTAAGGTAAGAAAATAAGAATTTATCATAATCTTCTTAAGAGCCGACAAGAAATATTGAGGAGGCAAAATTTGCATGTGTTGTTGGTACAGTGTTGTCTGTAAGCTCCATAGTGTAGCCACAACTCCTTTCTTTTTCACTGTATGCTATACTTGTCCATTAGTGATGCTTTACTGTCATTAAATATTGAAAGATGGTAAGAATCTAGGAAAGTAATCAGATGAAATTAGGGTGAGTTGCAGGTACCATCCAGGAGGTATGGTGGAGCAGGTGAGAGGAGTGTAAATGGCAACATTCCTATTGTATACTTGATCACTGTTCGAAGTTTAGTAGCTTATATTTCACCATTCATTATTAGAGACATTTCAGGGTTAAAAAAAAAATTACATGGGTTTGAATGGGAAATTAGTGTCCACTTAACATACATCTGATTACTGTACAGGTTTTCAGAAACACATGTAATTTATGTGGATGCTGACTGAATATTGTATAACTGAAACTAACAGTAACAAAGTTCCAAAACTGATATTGAAAACACATAGTAATCCTTACTGCTTTGAAAGCCACGCATAATGCTCAAAGATTAATTCCTTGGGTCCTGTCCTCTGACGGAACTGATCAATGTGGCGCCGAAACTGGGCAATTGCATCTCGGGGAAGATTGAGGGCGAAATCAAGTCGACAGATCTTGTAGTTAATGACTGCTGCAACAATCCGGATTTCATGCAAATTGGTGTCAGTTGATCGTAGGTCCAGAAGGTGGTGGTAACACTGAGCGTAGTGCCTGACAAACAAAATGAACATTATAGTTCTGTACTGTAAATTTCTCTGAGAGGTACATACCAAAGAATCTTTTATGACAAAAAAAGGCTTCCACAAAGTACATTAGATCTGCAATTTCAGTGCAGCAAAACCTCACTAATTCAAACTACGGTACTACAGGTACACCACCAATTTTCCGGGAGCTGATGGTTCGGCACCTTCTTTAGTCCGGACAAAATTATGAGAGGGCACTTAACTTCCTTCCTTCCCTCCCTCCCAGCCGGGGTGAAGGTATTTTTAGGCTTAAGTTTTTTTAGCTTATAAAATGTAGTTGACAAGACTTAGCAGAATATAGATTGCATTGCTGGAATCCTCTGTTGGTCCGGCAAGGCTTTGGAGCCAGGGGTGCCAGAAAATCGGTGGTGGACCTGTTTATATATAATATAATATAATATAATATAACATAATATAATATAATATAATATTATATAATATAATATAATATAATTTATCAGGTTGACAATCCCTTGCCCGAAATCCTTGAGGCCAGATGTGTTTCAAATTTTGGAATTTTTTGTTTTTCAGAATGGTTAGGGTTTTTTTTTTTACAGAGATCAGCCCAACCGGGCACAGGTCACTCACCCACATTGGGGCCTGGGGGGGGATGTAATAATAATAATAATAATAATAATAATAATAATAATAATAATAATAATAATAATGATAATGATAATGATAATAATAATAATAATAATAATAATAATAATAATAATAATAATAATAATAATAATAATAATAATAATAATAATTATTATTATTCATAGGTCTAGGTCGTGTTTCTCACTTTAGATCTTTTTTTCATTCTTGTATTATTTTATTTTTGTGTACAGTATTTTTTTTTATAAATTTTATTTACTATGAATTAAAAGGTGCTCCTCTACTTACAAATGAGTTACGTTCCTGAGGCTTGTTTGTAAGTCCAACTTTACTCTTGTAGATACCAAACATATTGTAACAAATGAAAAGATTATGGTAATTTAGTACAGCTATGCCCTTTAATACAGCCTTAAAACCTGGCTCACTCTTCTATCTGGAATTTTCTTCACAATAATCCAGTCTCATCCACATTAAACATCTGCTCTGGCAGGTATCCCCCTCAGTGATGATGTTTGTATCTCTGAAAGTTTGTAAGTTGAATGTTCTTAAGTAGAGGAGCACCTCCATTACTACCTGTATTATTATTATTATTATTATTTTTATTATTATTACATTTTCGTCCCCCAGGCCCGGATGTGGGTCAGTGACCTGTGCCCGGGTGGACTATTCCCTGTAAGAAAATAAATAAATAAAAATAAAAATATATACTGTATGTTTTGCTCCACTAAAAAACTTTCAGTTTTCGGAATTTCGGATAAGGGGGTTGTCAACATATAATATAATATAATATAATATAATATAATATAATATAATACAATATAATATAATAAATAAAATTAATATAATATAATATAATATAATATAATTATATAATATAATATAATATAATAAAAAAATATATACTGTATATATACTGTGTATATACTGTGTGTATATATATATATATATATATATATATATATATATATATATATATATATATATATATATATATATATATATATATATATATATATATATATATATATATATATATATATATATCCTCAATAGATGTAGGTGAAGCAAGGGGGGTAACATTACACCTGGAGGCAAATGAGTGATAACCAAATTCTTGGCCTGAAAAATGCGCTATAACGGCAGGTGTGCAGATTTTGATGGAGGCGTGATAACGAAAATCGCGATAACCAAAGTGCGCTATAACGAAGGGATGACTGTATATCTATTTCTTTAATAATTTCACGGGATGATAAATTTTACCGTCATCCCGCGGGCCACACCTGACCATCCCAAGGGCCACATTTGGCCCGCGGGCCATGAGTTTCACACCCGTCTTACACCTTACAAAATTTTTTACCAAAATATACTTTTTTCTCAGAATTGAAATTTATGAGGTTTAACTAATTAAGTACTTTCAGAATAACACAAACCCTAAATCACACCTTGGAAACCCATAGTTGATGAGTAATTAGCATTGAAAAATGTCAGTAAAATCATTCAAGGGTCATTTTACCAAATAATTACAGTGGTCCCTCGGTTAACGAACACAATTCGTTCCAGAAGGTCGTTCGTTAACCGAAAATTTCGTGAACCGAAACCATTGTTTCAATGGGATATTGGGTAATTTGTTCCAGCTCACAGAAAAATATATACAAAGTAAAGCCAAAAATGCATAAAGTCACAAACACTCCTAAAATTCCCCTAAATCGCCCTTAAATCACTATATATATCGTACATATACACTGGAACTCTTAAATCACTACTGTAATGTGATACAGGTGATTAATTTTATCTCTTGTGCAAAATATATGACGTCTATATTCAAATGATTCTCTGTCTTGCAAGGATTCTAGCAATGCAAATTATATTCTCCTAACTTTAGTCTGAGATATTATATATGATTAAAACTGTAAGCCTAGTGAAAACCCCCAAACGTTTCTCGGGAAGGGAGGGAGGGAGGGAGGGAGGGAGGGAGGGAGTGTGGTAGATGAGTTGTAGTTTGACAGTTTGGGGGAAGGTCTGGTGAAGTATTTAATTTATTTATTTATGTTGTTGCTCATAAAATTGTATATAAATAACCGGCCAGAATATAATTTACATTGCTGGAATTCTTATAAGATAGTGATTAATTTGAATATAAACAAGCTATAATTTGCATTAGACATACAAATTTTAGATCTAATTTAAGAATTTTATTCGAGAGCAAAAATTTTATCTTTTGTGCAAAATATATGACGTTCATATTCAAATTATTCACTGTCTTGCAAGGATTCCAGCAATGCAAATTATATTCTCCCAACTTTAGTCTGAGATATTATATACATGATTAAAACTTTCCCAAACCTTTCTTTGGAAGGTGGGGGGAGGGAGGGAGGGGTGACAGTGACATGTTTGACAGTTGGCGCCTGTGGTGTGAAGTATTTAATTGTTAATTTATGTCCTTTAGATTGAGTTTTTGTTTTTTGCTTATAAAATTTAACAGAAGTGACTGGGGTGAATTTAATTTGCATTGCTGGAATTCTTATAAGATAGTGATTAATTTGAATGTAAACATGCCATAGTTTGCACTAGACAAAAATTTTAGTAATCATTTTGTACATTATTCTGATTACATGTACAGTTCAGCTTTGCCCTTAGGACAGTGCGTGCATGTAAATGAGTTTCAATAAATGAATAAAGTTACATATATCGAGCCAAAAATAATAGTTGAAAAACTTTATGTAGACAGAGCTTGGATGGCTAAATTTTTGAATGACCAATAATTTTAATACTGTATAAAAAAATGCACAAATATTAAAGAGCACAATTTTCTTGATATTTACTCCAACGGAAACGAATGTAAACATAGAAGAGATTACTGAATTGGTTGAGTACCTCCTCAGCTTATCAGCTGATGTTCAAAACAAAACGTGATTTTCGTAAGGATTTCGTTAATCAAATTTTTTTTCGTTAACCGAATTGAAGATTCTTATGGAAGGTAATTCGTGAACCGAAATTTCGTTAACCGAGGGACCACTGTAGAGGAAAGAGTGACTGAGAAACTAATAAAGAAGGGAATGGACATTATGAAAATGCAGTTTTGGTTCATGCCTGGCATGATGACTAACAAGGCAATATTTATGGCTAGGCAACCACAAGAAAAATACCTAGGGAAGGAGTGGTGGTGGGTATGGAGTTTTTTTTTCCCCACCCTACAGTCATCTGCTGGACAGTGCTGCCTGTCACTTGAACAAATAGAGTCCCTTGATAATGGAAAGTACTGTATAGCCTTCCTCTGTTTTGGTGGATGTATCATGAGATCAGTCATCTTGTCCCCTTGGGTATAAGATGGAATTTCTCATTTCAATCCTCAACTTTTTTTATTAATTTTTGAAATGCTTTACTTAAAGAGTCATTTAACTCATCCTATAACATTTTCAATTATACCATTTCTTAACACTGTGTATATTGTACTGTATTGAAATGTTCAGTGCTGTAAGGCAAACAATATATTTTCTATTGTAACACAGCATCTTTACCCATACCAACATAACACATCATCATACTTATATTAGACTAGTTTAGTCTTTATTCCCTGATGCCCCTCTGCCTGCAAAGCAATACAGTGTTATAAATAACATTGGAGTATAAACTTGAATGCTGCAAATAAACAAAATATTTCTCTTCTTACTTGATGGCTGTTTGTGAATCATTCCGAAGCTCATTAAGGAAGCCAAGTTTAAACTGGTGTCGTACAAACAGGAGAGTATGGTTAGTTTTATTAAGAAAATCGCGATGAGCTCGAACACCCTTTGCTTCACCAAGATAAAAGGTCCAAGCTATCTCACTAAGGGCATTCTCCAGCCTGGAAAATAAATTATTATTAAAGATTAATTTTTTATCTTACACTGTGGAACTGTGGATGGCTGGATAAAGAAAAGGGGATAAAATGCACAACAAATGTACACACAGTAAAAAAAAAAAGTGCCGGGAGGGTTGGTATGCATGCCTGTATGGCAAAGGTTTCCACCTACCTGTGGTAGGGCCTTATTAGTTAAGTCCCACAGGACCAGCATAATATTATCAACACCATTACATTAACTATCTTACAAGGCATATTCCACTAACCCTCGTCCGTGGTGTCATATTTTTTGCACATAATCCGTACGGTACTTTTTTTTTACTGTGTGTACAAGAAATAATTCTGGAGTCAGGGATAAAGGAATTGTATATATTCACCACTTGATATCAAGGGAAAGAGTCCCTGCTGGTATCTTAACCCCTTGTGTGTGGGGCCCTCTGTGCTGAATAAAACCATGTGGCATTAGCCAAATAAAACATCTTTAGTAGCATCCCTGTAGTGAAGGAGTACACAAGAGCGATCTTACAAGTTGTTGGATAAACAGGATTCCACTGATCTGTTGAAAATTTTCAACCCTGAATGTAAAAAGAGGACAGGAAAGCAGAAAAGTAAGGATTGATCCTTAAACCCTATTTTATAAAGAATATGGATTGGGCAACTCATGTACTAAGGCATTGTACTGTATGTCTTTAAGCTTTGGGACTAACTGCTTAGATTCCCAGAAACCCTACACTTGTGTGACCAGGCTATACAGTTGATTACCCTTGGGACCAAACAGTTTCCAAATTAAAAAAAATTACAAGTGGACATTTGTTTATTTAAAGTTTACAGTGGTAAAAAACTAGCAGTAGTATGTCTTTTTAACATAAGTAGCTGATGAGTCAGCTAACAAAAAACAAACAAACAATAACAATTAAAGTAAATTTAAAAAAAAATTAAATACCCTATACTGTACAGGCAGTCCTCACTAGACATACTGCCACTAGGTATATTTTGCAAATATGGTAGGGTTGCAGAATATGCGTATCCATAGTACGCGAATGCGCTTATATGCACCTGACCCTCTGAACCACCCTTACGCTTGGGTTTCACATGATTTGCATGATGTAATTTGTGTCATTGGCCAGTGTGAGGGTGATATGTGCCCAACTGTCAATAATGTGAAAGGGTTAATGAAACACTTAAAGAGAAACTTGAAGCATTATCGCCCTCATTGAGGAAATTACAAATCAAGTTGAATTTTTTTCTTATCTCGAATAACTTTAAGTTGCTGTTTTTTTATAGTCAACAAGAACTAAATACAATAATGACTATGAAATTGGAAATGCTATTAGCCAGTGTGGCCAGAACAGGAAAGTGGTCATAAGTGAGTGGTTTTGATGACATGATGGCATGGTCATCATGGACCTAGTGGGATTAATAACCTTAACAGGATCATTTACATACATCTTATACCAGGTAAAAAAGAGAGAGAGAGAAACGTAACGTACCTTACAGTATATCCTAAAAGATGAGCATCTGAGTGAGGTAACACAAAAAGATGCTTAGCAGGTAGATCACAGGCAGTGCAGAGGGTTGCTGCCTTCTCTGCTGCTCCCGTGTCCTCACCTGGTACACTAATCCCACTCTGAATAAGAACCAGCGCTACACGACTGTTTCGACTTCCCAACACAGTCCTGTGTTTACCAAAAATAAATAAAAAATAAATAAATAAATAACAGAATAGTTATCATTTAATATGAAAACTTTATTTATCATATAATCAGGTCCTCTCTAAGGCACAGACCACCAAATACAATTACAGTAATTAAACTATCTACCAATTCATCTATTACTTTTACTCTTCTCTTAACTGTGTGGGGCAGATCAAGGGGTACAGACCTCAAAGACGGGGAGAAACTGTAAGGAGAGTAGTAGTACAGTGAGTTCTACTATAACGCATGTTTTGACAATGCGAATTGGCTCTAACGCGATTTATGAATAGAGGAACGATATTTGTATAAAGCGAATGCTTGTTTGCTGTAACGCGATTTTTGCTTACTATTTCTCCAATTTTGCGGTATTAACTGTGAATATGGTAAAGAAGAATATCTCCAAGAAGTGTTCTGGTGATCGCATTCCCGGTGATGATCGTAAAAGAATGGCTATAACCCTTGAAGAGAAGCTTGATGTTATCTACCTCAAAATCACCCTTCTCCCCCATCAAGTAGTAATCTGCACCTAACCCTATTTTCTCCATAAGCCCTGTTATTTCTATTACGCGAATTTCTATAACACGATGTTTTACAAGAACACAACTATCGCGTTATAGCAGAAATGACTGTACACTATAGGAAAAGTGCAGAAGTGGCAGGAAAGTAGAGATATCCAAAAATCTAATATCTAGTTTTTACAATTAACTCTTCATTTTGTGTGGGGTGGATCAACAAAAGCAGAAACCTCAAGGAGGAAAATATTAGTACGTAAGAGTAATGCAAGACAGTGTGGAAAATGAGAGAAAATGGACTAAGATGAAAATATACAAGTTTTCACACATATATGATCATACAGTAGTTTCAAATTCCATGTACAGTTCAGTATACAGAGTGAATCTTAGCATTCATATTGATTTACAGTGTCCCATAGTAATTCACTTTGAACTAAAGTTAAGTTATTAGGTTCATTTGTGTTACTCCCATCATTTATGACCCAAAATCAGTCCTCAAGTACTATCTAACATGACCCTTCTACTATATATAGTTCAACTACATTACACCTCCACTTTTTAATGTGCCCTTAACCCTTTAGAGGGAAGGGGTTTCTTTCAGCTGCCCTCTATGAGGTTAAAGGGGTCAAATGATCTTAAAATCCAATACTTAGTTGCAATTCAATGATGTATTGGTAAAATAGAGGTGTATGTGTATATGTGTATATTTAGGCTCCAGGAACCACCAACTTCACTTATACAGTATAGCGTACTGGAAAGAGAGAGAGAGAGAGAGAGAGAGATATACAAACAATAGGACAACATCAAGTGGTTTATGAGAACGATACAGCCATTAAGAGAGAATGGATGAAAGAATATGAAGAAATAGTCTATGTCTACTGATGGTTCTGGCCACCATGCACCATAGAAAATAAAAAGGACTACAAGATTAAAAAAAAAATACAATGAGGCTAAGTAGCCAAAAAAAAGGGGGGGGGACAAATTTATATGGTTTTACAAAGCAGTCGTAAAAAGTCAAAATGTCACAACCTGCCATGAAAGAGGAATATAGAGTCACATATAACAGGTAACTTTACTACTATTATTCAGTAATAAATAGGACTAATATTTAATTGAAACAATAACACTGGGTGCAAATTTGGTTTGCAAAAGTGAAAAATTACATTGTCTATGTACTATAATATTATTTAAAGCTTTTTAGTGGTCTCAGTACTGCATATAACATTTCAGTTCTTTCAGCTTTTAACGTTATAATTAAAACAAATTTTGGTAATACAAAACTCACTTGAGTGACTGAACTTTACTGGCAAGGTCATTCTTCTTCTCAGTCCAGCTATTGTCATTCCAGTCCAAGTCATAGAATAAGACAACAAGTGCTGGCACATGGTACAGGTACTTGGAGATCCAGTTTGACTTGAGAATACCCTTGGGGATATACCACTCATATGACTGTCTCTGAAAAATTAAACATTTAATATTTTGTGAATTAGCTTTTTTAGTCTTACAAGAGCCACTGAAAATGGTGCATCCCTCTGATTGAGAATGTCTACAACATAAATTATTTTTGCCTGTAATACATCAAACCACCCCATGCAAAAACCTGTCTGAATACAATTTCATATTAAAACTTAAATCACTTTACTGAATCTATGAAAATATATCAATCAGAAAACAAATTTGTCATGGACAGATGGATGTACACTTGGTTTAAAAAAAAAAAAAAAAAATCTTTCAGGAGGGGTCTGATGAGTTTTGAACCGAACAATCCACACACAGGGCTACCAATGTGAGGTATGCCTCATGGCCTTTATCAAAAAACTTTGTTTGTGGTGTCATTTTGTTTCTCACAAGAATTGTAAACATAGTTTTTGTACCGAGTTTACTATATTACTGATGTAAGTGTATGCGTGTTAAGTAGGAAGAACTGAGGTAGGGCAGTGATGCACAGTTGTAAGTACACCTGTACTGTATACAGTACAGTACATGCAAAGCATAACCCAGTATAAATTAAATTTGGGAAGTAATAAGTTAATATGAAGTACGTATAAAGTAAGGCAAGAAATATACAGTGGAATCCCAGATATCTGCCAACTTCGGGGATTGACAGGTGCCGGATAAACAGTTTTCCAGTGAGTTGAAAATCACTTTTAGAAGCTCCCAATAAATCCTACAATGCACAGTGCTACAGGCTGACCTTGCAATTCATCTAAAAAAAACAAACTTCTTTAAAACTTATTCCACCTTGTATACACAATGTGACATAGAAATAAAGAAAATATAACATAAAAGTATAAAATAAGAAAAATGAATAGCCTGGGTGTGTATGTACTGTATGGGAAGTGAACTACGCTGACTCACCAGCCCAGCCGTTGCCTTTATTGTTACATATTATAATGAAACTATAAAAGTTGTGGGAAACTCATTACTACAATACTCTTATGTGGCTTAGAAATAAAGAAAACATAATACAGGGGGTCCTGGGGTTACAAACGGCTTCAGTTCCTGAGGAAGTTCATAAGTCGGATTTGCACGTAAGTTAGATTTGTAAGTCGGAACACATGCTATATGCATACCGTACTTACAAAACTACAGTATGTTTAGAAACGCACTATATCATAGCCTAAATCCTTGTATACATCTAAAATCACTTAATTTAAGACAAAAGAAGAAATAGACTGACAAAATACAGTAAAGGAAGGTAAAAAATAAATCAGGTAAATAAAATACCCGGTACTGTAAATTTCAATTTTAACCCCGTTCGTATTGGCGGGCATTCTTAAGTATAAAACTACAAAAGAAAAATGAAGAGAATAAGTGTGGAAGTGTGTGGAGGCCATGGACTATATTTGTGTGGCCGCACTCCTTCCCAATGTGATGTCATGGCATACACAAAGCACAGAGCGGGAACCACACGTCTGTGAGTCAGCTGGTGGACTGCTTGGCTGAAGGGTGTGCCTTGCAGAGAAGATGGTTTGAGTGTGGAAGGAGCTATTTTTTTTTACATAAAATATGTGCTATTGTATTTTATATGTTATGTTATGTATCGATTATATTGTTTATCAAAGCATTGAATATGGCAGCTTATTCCCATTGCGCGTAGTATTCAAACTTACGATACTAGCTGATTTTCGGGGAATCTTTATTTTTATTATTTCATTTTGGTGCTGGTTAGTTGAATCTACTGGTTGCCCAGATACCGGATAATTGTGATTCTTCTGTATGTAGAAAAGGTGACTACAATACTTGATGGAAATGTTTGGTTCATATTTCAGTACTGTATAATTTTATCAAGAATTGGGGCCAAATTTTTCTATGTAAGCATGTACAGTATCTCCAGTTATATCCTAGTTGTGTGTGGTTAAATGGGTTTCTCATAATTTAAAGATGTGTAAAAATCTTCAGTAATGCATGTAATTAATAAAAAGAGGAAACATATCCTTTTTGGTACTACTGTAATCTAATATTTCTCCGGCAAAATTCATCCAAAAGATGGCTCAGGAATGTATCCTATACAGTACTGTATTTCTGATTTCTGGGGTTTTACTGTATACACATGGAATACAATATTCTTATTTCCATTTAGTTGAGTATTGTACTGCATGCATAGTAGTCCTAGAATTGCCTAATACAAGTCAAAGTCACTTGAATTACCATATAAACTATACTGCATATAGAAAAGATGACAATACTGTACAGATACTGACAATTTCCTTGGTATGTGATGCAAAATTCAGAATACTTATCACTTTCCCTTACAAGTACCAGTACTGTAATGTATATTCACAACTTTTACAAATTCTCCTTACCTTTTGTTTCATGGGAGGCATCTGGAAGTCAGGAGAAAGGAGTCGAAAGTGCAGTGGGGTGCGGTCTGTTCTCCGGTTTAGTGCAAATGCTTCCCAGACAGACTTGTGTGTTGCCTTCTCAGCTACGTCCAATCCTGAGTAATAACACAGAAACTGTGTAAAGATATCAACTCTATTGTTCAGAGTTGAGCACCTAAAGGAAAAGTAACAGCTGCTAAAAGTCATACTGAAAGAAGAGGGAGAAAACAGAAAGAAATTCATTGATACAGTGGAGTCATGATAATGTATAAGATCAGTACCAGAAGACATTATGAGTTACCAAATTGCAAATTACAGTTTAGGTGATTTAAATGGGATTACAGTAAAAACCCTGAGTACAAGACCACCTGAGTAACGACATGTCCGAATAACAACACGAATCTTGGAAAAAGTTGTTAAAAAATTTTAAAAAATATCTTGGGTATCTTGAGGGTCAATGTTATTGTTGTGGAGCGACACAGCGTGAACTGCATGGTCCCGCCTGCATCACAACAACACAGCCGCACTGTACTCAATCTACGTGTGGCTATTACTCAATGCAGATATGCCTGTTCTCTCGTTACATATAAAAAACACACATTGTGAGAACAACCAAGTAAGTATGTTTGGACCAGCCCCCAAAGAGTAAAAAAGCACAAAACCATGAAGGATAAACTTAAAATGCTAACCATGGTTGACATTAAATGCTGTGTTTCCAAGAAAATGCAGAAATTTGCAACTGAATACAGTATACAGTATACAGAAAGCATATCATAAGTTTGATCCACTTCAACTCCACTGAGTGTGAAAATGGGTCCCAACCACACCCACACAATCTTTACTGCATAACACATATTGCCCGGCAGCTGTGGCCTGAGATGGTTACATGTGTTGTCACTGATTCATGTAATGAAACTGTAAAAGTTGTGGAAAAATCATTTCAGTACTCTAATGTGTTTTACAAATAAAGGAAATACCTGTATATATAAAACTAAGAAAAAGAAAAATGAAGAGTATGAGAATAAACAGTATTGTGTGTGGGAGGTGAACATAATCTTATATGTGGCTGCATCATACTCTCCCCAATGTGACATCACGGCATACATAATGTAGCAGCCACGTGTTTTTCAAGTCAGCTGGTTGGCTAAACTCGTCCACTTTCGGCATTACCCATAGAATGGATTAAGGAAGGAAGGAGCTACTTTTTGTACATAAAATAAGAGCTAATGTATTTTATGATGTGGTACTTATTATTTTCATTTTTAAATTTAGCTGCTCTCCTTTACTGATCGTTAAATCTGTGACAACGAAGTTCCCAAGAACAAAGTGAATTTTGTGAACATTGCCAGAGGTATAATGTACACAACTATATCATCCACTTTATCTCACACAGCACAAGGCCATTAGTGCCATATACAAAGATACAGCAAGTCCTCACTTAACGTCGTCCCGCTTAACGTTGTTTCGGTACTACGTCACTAAACTTTAGACCAAAAATTTTTTTAACATCCCTGTGATCCGATACTACGTCAATTTGCGTGGTCACGGACTACATTCTACGGCGCATCACCTGCTCTTATCTGGCCGCTCTACGCTCTCTCGGCTCGACTCGCTGCCCTCACTCGCAGAACGTCACAGCGTCTTCAAGAGACGCCAAGACCTCAGTAGCTCCATTCCATCCCCTGGGTTTGCCAAGTAGCTATCAAAGTCTTTCAGTTGAGGAGTTTGTGGATGAATGTTGCCTCCATAGTGACCGAGTCTGACTAAGACTCATCGTGAACTGTCCCTCTAATTGGGGTGTGGCTGTGGTGACGTCACTTTTCGATTCTAATTGATGATTGGCTGCACTTTTCACACCTCATAACATCTGATGGGTGTGGGGGGCAGTGGTACTTAGTTATTTTAGCAAAATTTTAAATACACTCAGTCTCACACACATATGTATAGATACAGGCTTTATATCTACGAATAACAACCTCTTCGAATCACAACCTCTTTGAAATTCATTTAAGGTGCAGGTATATGAAAAGAGTAATTAATGTCGAACAGGAAGACCAAGCCACTGAAAGAAAGGTGGGGGAGAAGAGAGGATGGGTGGGTGCTAATGGACACAAGAAGATTAAAGGAAAAGTCTGCTGTCAGGGCCACTTCCACCTGACCTGACGTGAAGTGACCTCACCTAACGAGACCTCTAGGTATGTGACCACGTGGTGTCTCCCCACACAGTATCCTTCACGGCTCCACCCACACCATACCTTCCATCCCACACAACTCTTTTTCCTATAGTTAATAATTAATTAATTAATTAAAAAATGTTATTAGTTTGCCACAGGCATTAAAACTCTTTGTTTGAGGCCTGTAAAGAGTAACGATTTTTTGTTTTCAATTATATTGGAGTAAAAGTATTAAAAAACTATGCTTAAGCAAAGGCAAAGGCATAAAAAAATTTAATTACTTTTTAAAAATTAAATGCCCAGAAATGTCACTTGAATCCAGTACTCAAGTAAATTTTAGTAACTTTACAACACCGACCAACACAGTGGTACACAAAGTAACAGAGGAAAGTGAACTATAAATCAAATATTTTTATGAATGAGAATTAACAGACTAGCTAAATCAGCAAACGTGCCAATGGGACTAAGTTGCGAATTTCATGTCAGGTGCTGGGGGTTGTGGGTGTGGGGAGTGGTCTGATGACTCTATGGTCCTCTACATTCTGATGTCAAGGGTGTGATTTTAGTTTAGTGAATATCATTTCCTTAAGTTGTTAGTGATTGCTTAGTGCAAAATTTAAATATTTGCTCATGTACATATCACTCTTATGCACTACCCCGGTACTCAAATAATTTCCATTAGCCGGAATCTCTCAAACCCAGAACTCTCCGATAGCCGGAATTGAAATTTTCTCAGAAAATCGTTCCCAAAGCCACAATTTTCCAGAAAATTCAGGCTTTGGGAATGATTTTCCTATGGGCACATTTTCTGAAAAATTTCAAGAAAATTTGCCCAATACCTGGAAGATTCAGAGGATGGGGGGGAGGGGGGGGGTCTTTTCTGGGATTGAGAGATGAAAATCAGGTGCATTTTGCAAAAATTCCGAGAATAATTTTCCAGTACCTGGAAAATTCCCAGAATAATGGGGGATATTTTTCCAGGTTCAAGAGATGCTGTATTGGGCAATTTCTGGAACTTTCGAGAACATTTTTCCATTACCAGGAAAATTCCAGGGATGAGGGATTTTTTCCAGCTTCGATTGTCTCGTCTTGTTATCCGGAAATCTCTCATTCCCAGAAGTGCTCTGCACCAATTGTTCCGGCTAATGATGATATCACTGCAATGTACAGCTGTTCCACTGTGAACTATCACTATATCATAATATAATACATATACAGTGATCCCTTGGTTAACGAGCGCCTCGGTTAACGAGATTTCGGTTACCGAGTTACCTCCCATAAGATTCTTAACTTCGGTTAACGAGCAATCCCTCGATTAACGAGTTTTTTACGAGCCGACTTCAACAAGTTTTCGCTTGCATTTGGCGGTCCACCAGCTGTAGTATTAGTCCGCCAATACAGTAATCGGTTTTAGGGCTAAATTCCTTCCTATTTTAGTAAATATCAAGAAGTTTATACTATTCAATAATTTTAAAAGTTTAATATTAACTTTTTTAGTCATTTTAACAATTATTGAACATAATTGAAGGTAAAGAAACTAGTTTCTGGCATGCCATCCAGCCTGTTAACACACCAGACAGGCGTTAGTCTCTCTCTGTTTTCAGTGGAGGTAACATCTTGCTTGAGACTCTCTTCAACTAAATGCTCTTTTTCTGTGTTTCCAAGCAAATTATTGGTCATTTTGAAATTTATTTTACATATTGACAATATATAATGCAGTGCAGTGTTGATTTAAAGAAAATAATCTTGAATTACACCAAGAGAACTAAAATTTTATGGGTGAAATGGTGCCATGGGGTGACTTCTCTTCCACCCCAATGCCTTCTCTTCTCCCTTCTCCTCCACCCCTATTATAAATCCCATCATCATCATCATCATCATCATCATCATCCAGGAGCCTTCTACATACACACCTCAAAGTAAGTGTACTTTTCTACCTTTTTTGTTGAATTTAGGCAATTTTCGGTGAGCTGGAACCAATTACCCAAAAACCCATTGAAACAATGGTTCCGGTTAACGAGCAACCTGCTGGAACGGATTGTGCTCGTTAACCGAGGGACTACTGTACTGTTTACAGTACTGTTAACAGTGTTTATACCCAGTAGTTATACTGTATGAGAATCATAATTCAGTGAAGATATCTTCTCTCTAACCAGAAAGCCTAGGGGTTGGGTAACACAAAAACAGATATCTACTGAAGTAAAGCAATTAAAATACCTGACCTGCCGTGGTGCCAGTCAGTGTTGCCACATTTAGATCATATAAGAGTTACAGTAATACAAAACAAATTACTCTGGACAGTATCCAGTGTACAATGGGCTGGGTGAATCTTACCAAACATTTTCATTGTACAGTAGGGTCGGGTTATATAGCGACTTTATATAACGATTTTTTTTACATCGCGACCACCAAAATTATTGACATTTTTTTTTAAAAAGCGATATTTCTTTTTATTTTGCGAGGGAAACTGTGCAGGAAATATTTCAAATTTATCACTACAGTTCTACCCAAATCATCGAAATTTTCCAATATACAGTAGACTCGCAACTTACGCGAGGGTTACATGCCTGGGACCTCGTATAAAGTCAGAAACACTCCTATATCGCCCTTAAATCACTATATACGAGGTCTGTCCAAAAAGAAACCGAACATTTTAAAAAACAAATTTATTGCTTTACTTACAACTTAATTTCATGTAGATCCACAATGAAAATGTGGAAAAGGTAAATCTAGATAAAATCACACAGGGAAAAGGGAAACAATGGAGCACCTTAGCTTTCGTCTTTATTCAAGACATCTTCAGAGGCAACATCCTTGGACCCTGTCTCGCGATATATCCCGACCCTACTGTTGTTGTAGAGCATCATTTAATTTGTATAGGTAAAAGAAAAACAAACAGTTGATAATGAAAAATTTAAGACTGTAGATGTACAGTAAGCTGATTACTTGTACCTGGCAGTGCAGACATCACAGAAATCAGTGCATCATCTCCTCCACCTCTATCACCATCCGACTCATCGTCACCATCTGACTCTTCACCACCACCTCCCTCAACTTTACAGGCTGCTCTTTCTACTACTTTCAGTGATTAAGAGATAGATCCACCTCACCCAGAGCGGAGACATACAATATTCTCTCCTGCTCATTTATATCATTTACCCACTGACTCTCATTCCAGGGGTTGATACCATTATTACAAGATATAAATGTATACAATATTGTACTGTGTTTACCAATATTGTACCCAAAATAAGTTATTCATAAGTCACCCATAGGTAAGTGTAACAACTTGAGTATCACATCTCCATATACAGTACTGTACTATAATTACAGTACTGGTATAATAACCTCTCTTAGCACTAAAATCACTTAGTGCTCTCTTCTCCTGAACACTAGGTGAGGTATTACTGTACAGTACATTTCAGGGGTATAGTCTTTATCCAATAGAATACATCTCCAGTCTTTAGGAATAAAGTTTAATCTTTCCATGACTTGATGGATGACAGTTACAGTGTGGTGAGAGCCAGATTCATGTACTGTATGTGTAAAATAATTGACAAATAGCAAAAAAGTGAAAAAACAATATGCTTTACGACAGATCCACTGGACCACCACTTGACAGAAAGGAACGGAAACCTGGAGCATGTTCTTCCCACATAGTTAAAGTGGGTATCAAGAAAAAAAATCAAGAATCTGACCTGACTATCCCCTCTGGTCCTTGAGAGCATCACATTGTTGTGATGAATCAAACAGATTTGAAAAAGTAGAAAAGTGCATTGTGTCCATTATGGTGCTCCCTGCTATCATATTCTGTACACTTTATGAACTATGAAAAGCTTTGCTAGTTAGGTGTTTGGTATTGGAAGACCGTGTAAGTCTCGAATAAAGTTCTAAAAACCAGAAAATATATGACCTACCTATTTATTCACAACAAAATTTAATTATCCTGTGCAATAATGGACAGATTTACAATTTGATGCAGTGGAAGCTAAACACCGCAGGAGAAAACATTTTCTCCAGCAATTGATGTAAGAGTTTATGCTACCCTTGATACTGGAAACCCAACACTTATTTTTGGGTTAAATATAAATTACTTACCCATCATTCCAATCAGGGCATAAGGTGGAGTGGTCACTTCAGGTGGAAGGCTGTATGGATCAAATTCATCCTCCATTTTATCACAGAACAGGAATGTTGATACAAATCTGAAATTAAGATCACATGATCAGTAAAGAAATGATGAATTTTGCTATGCAACTATTTTGAGAATTAGCCTCCAAATTTCAGTCCTCACCTTTGTTGTTGTGATGTTATTGTTAACAACAAAGTGTACTGTACTAAGGATTTTAATACAGTACTACGGAAGGATGGCCCATTCCTGTGGGCGAATGTATTCACCGCCCAAAGTGGCACTGCTAAGCGGCTGGGTAGTAAACTAAATACCAGTAGTTACCAAGTAAGGACTAAAAGCGGGAAGACGAAAATTTCAGCAAAATCACAATTTTCTTTTGTTTTGTATATTTTTTTTTAGCAGCTGCAATAGGGCCTGCTATTAATTGCTCTAGAAACTCATTAAGGAACAAAAACATTTCTTTCTTTCAATTTCAGAAAGATAAAGACAGGTAAGTCGTACACCTACTTCTGTCAATGTTGACTTGACTGTCCATTACTTTCTGAGCTCTTCTTTATTTACTGCATTTAGTACTGATAACATTCCACTCTTCAGAATTGCTGGTTAATATCAGAGTATCAAAAAAAAGTGTATAAATTGAATAGGATAACTGATGTGTTCTCAAAAATATAGGCTGGAACTTGGGTCATTATTCAATGTGTTTTGAATGGATTATGTATTAATTTCTTGGACAAATTTATGAAAATCTTACCAACCCAACCTAAAATCTATGGTATAAAGACACTAAAAACGAACCAATCCAAACCTAACAAAACCTAAACAAACCTAATTTTACCTAACCTTACCTTTGTCTCGGCAATTTTGTGCCATTTCGTGAAAAACTAAATGGTTACGAATTGGTAGAGTACAAGCACGTAACTCTATGTTGATTATTATATAAGGAGATAGAAAAAATTAATAAAATTAAAGCACTTTTGTCTGAAAATTTATATTTTCCAGTTACAGGTATCCCTCGCTACACGAATGTTTGCTCTGCAAATGTTAGCTTATAATAACATTATATTCTTACACTTCTTTCTCCCTATACAAAAGCTATGGTCCCTTATTATTGATGGCATACCCATCAAAGCATAACATGTTTTGATGGCCCTTTTCTTACTATATTTTCCTTGCTGAGTACGGTTATGATATTCATTTCTTGGTCAAATGTTTTATTTGGTAAGTAATTAGGCCCCTAGGCTCGCACTAGTAGCACTACTTCATCTATTGCAGCGATAAAAAGGTATGGCAGCCCAATCCACACTCGATGTTGTCCTTCTCTCATTGTTCTTTGTTTGTTTATGAGCCGTTTGGTCTGAGTGGCTTCTCATGCATAGACCAAAAAAGTCAAATTACACCATATCATAGGAAGTACTTTCTGTTTAATATGCCAGGGGGTCTTGGGGGAAGAGTCCCAAGCTAGAAAGTTAGGTAAGGTGAAGTAGGTTTCTTTGGTTAGGTTGGTGAGGTTGGTCTTCTAACAATGCTTTGGCTACTTGTGTTTCTTATCAACTCAAGATAAGTTAGATTTTATTTACAAATAACCCCATTTTATGTAAAAATGATGTATGTAACCCACATTTATATAAGTATTACTGACTGTTAAATTGGGGCTAATACATTGGATAAATCTGGTCACCATCACATGTCCCCTTTGAGGCTAAGGGGACTCTTGTAAGTGGAGTGGAGTGGAGACGTCACTCTGAGTCCCACACAGCCTCTGGGGAGTCTCATGCTGCTTAACAATGTCAAGCTTCACTTCAGAGACATGGTTGTCTTGAATGCCTTGGCCTTCCCAGACATTTTCAAAGTTACAGTCCTCATTTCAGTCACAAAAACAGAGCAAAAGCACTTGTCACAAAAAGAGAGCGTACGATGATAACGAAAACAATGATAGCGGCTGACAGTGCTCACATATTCTAAACAAGCCACAAAAACACAGAAAATATCACTTCACATTCACCATTACACAGGTCAATCTAAATATTAGCGCGCTGTCCTCTCACTTAACAGTTTCTCCTCTCCTCCACTTACGACGGAGTTCCTTTCTGACAACCAGGTCGTAAGTCGATTGACTCAATCGACTTACATTGTACAGGTAATAATTATAAAACTTTTGCCTTTTTAATATGCAAACTGAGCGGGATACGACGTGGATGCTGTACACACGCGGCAGGATGCCAGCCAAAGTTGTCGTAAGGCATCGTTAGACATTATGATCAAAAGTCTAGACTAGAAAATAATGTAAAATATTTTAATATAATACAACGACAATGACCGTCGTAAGTCTGGGTTGTCGTCAGTCGAGGAGAGACTGCATAAGGGAAAAAAACACCATGATAAATGCAATGTACAATGCCAGCCAATAATTGTGGAGCAATACAATGGTGGATGTACGATCAACAAAGAACCAAGGGGAGGGCTGTAGTGCACGGGTTGGCTATGTGGCAGCGCATGGGTAGGCTGACAAGAGAAGGTAGATATGCGTGATGCATAGGGTTAAATAGTGTTTCCTAATGAAATGTCACTGACTTGACATAGAAAATATAACTTTCATTACTGGAATCCTTGCAAGACAGCGATTAATTTGAGCATAAACAACCCATAGTTTGCACTTGAGAAAAAAGATCCAATTAATGGACATCAAGAGCTGTTCTATGGATATCGTTGAAGAGAGTTGTTTTGATCATACAGAGCAAGATGGTGTTAATTTATAACCATCGTTAAAGTGAAATACTGTATTGCATCTCGGGATATCGTACCTCGAGGTTTACCTGAAGAGGAAAAATGTGGAGTAAAATCTGAGTTGTAAAAAGTACAGGACTTTGTTACAAAAAAAAATTATTGTTACAGAGCCAAAATGTTACTCAGGTAGAAGAAAAAATTCCAAAATTCAATGTACTCAAGTAGAAGTAAAAAAGTATCTCATTTGTAAAGTACTCAAGTACTGTACTAAAAGTAAAAAGTAACAACAAAATTATTAATCATCTTAAATATTAAAATAAAAGACACGTAGCATTACACATGTTTACAATACAATAGGGTCGGGATATATCACGAGACAGGGCCCAACGATGTTCGCTATATACTAAATTGTGATATATAAATACATGTAATCAATGGGGAAAATAGGGTTAGGTTCTGGAGGCCCAAAGAAGTGACTAAACTTGACTTAACGAGTTCATTTTCTTACTAACTAAAGCGCCAATGAACACTAGACTCGGGAACAACAGGCTATTTCAATGTCAGTATCAATATCGAGGAACACCAGACTCGGCAGCTGACGCACCATCCTGGGAACACCGGACTCAGCAGTAGACGCCACACTCCCAACCTCAATTGACAATCCCACACCTACATAAACATACACCCAAAATATTAGTTACAGTATTAAATCTTTTCCAATAAGCTTTCCATTATCTTCACTTCACTTTTCACGTCACTAGCAACCCATTAACACTTGCCTTAGAAGTTGTAATCTGCAGCAGAGTCGGCTGCTTTCTCGTCACTCACTTGGAAAGACTGAGCGGGCGAGTGAGAATGCTTGAGTGAGCAGCCACGGTGGAGCCTCTGGTGAGCAAATAACGCATTTGTTTGCCATGATGGTACATTTGAAATATTTCCAGCATGATTTCCCTCGAGAAATAAAAAAATTATCGCTATATAAAAGAAAATGTAGATAATTTTGGGAGCCACGATATAAAAAATCGCTATATAAAGTCGCGATATATCCCGACCCTACTGTATTTGCAAATCTTTCTATTGAGATTAATAAATAACTGATTCTCAAAATTATGGCTGTCCAATCGGGATCTTTTAGGCTGACTAAACAGACACTCAAGAAGCAGATGTAGGTAGTGGGGTGTTAAGCTTGAGAGATAACTCACATAATGTCGTAAAAACCTCAGTAACTCCATTCCATCCCCTGGGAATGCCAAGTAGGTATCATGCTCCTTCAGTTAAAAAGTTTATGGACGATTGAAGGTAAAAATAGTCATCTTCTTCAAATGAGCTGCTGTCAAACATGACAGAGTTCTCACGGTCTTCTTACGGGTATTTGAAAATACATTCCAAATATGGCCAAGGATTGGATTCCCTCAATGTTGAAATCATCTTGAAGTACGTGATGGAAATGGCAGAATGGACGGCTTGAGCACTTAAACTCTGTATTTGTTGCTTGGGAACTTAGATGAAACGATATGAAAGAACACATGTGATTGCTCCAAATGTGAAGAAATGCTTGTGATTGGTTAGCTTCCAAGTTTGTCCAGTGTCTTGTACGACATACTCGACTTACGACAACCCGGACATACGACCGCCATGGTCGTATAAAATATTTTTCAAATTACATATTTTCTAGTACCAACGTTAATGATCACGCTGTGTACTGACAAAATTTTCGTTTGTAATTCCCTTTAAAATGGCTTGCAAGCGTAAAAGTGAGAGTTCTTGTGGTGCTGAGAAGAAAAAGAGACACCCATTTTAGAATTTCAATGTACAGTATTATTTTCGCCTTTTCGATTTACGACAAATTTGACATACGACCTGGTCGTCGGGACGGAACCCCGTCATAAGTGGAGGAGAGACTGTATAGAGTGGTCCCCCGGTTAACGAACGGTTCGATTAAGAAATTTTGGTTAATGAATTAGCTCCCATAAGGATCTTCAATTCGGTTAACGAACAAAACTTCGATTAAAGAAATCCTTACGACAAACACGTTTTGTTGTGAGCATCAGCTCATCAGCTGATCGGCTAGTCCGCCAATACAGTAATCTGTTCTATGTTTACATTCGTTTCCAGTGGAGTAAATATCAAGATGGTTGTGTTCTTGAATATTTTTGCAATTTTAATATTAAAATTATTGGTCATTCTAAAATTTAGCCATCCAAGCTCTGTCTACATATAGTTTTCAACTAATATTTTTGGCTCGATATACTGTATAGCAAAAATAAAGAAAATCCACAAGCAACTTCGGGTGGTCACTCTCTTCTACACCTTTACCCTTAAGTTTCTTACACACTAGGGGTTAGGTTAGGTTAGGTTTTGGGAGTAAATTTTTATTTTAGGATATGAGTCCCTAAGGGTTGACCAGTATGTTTTTCCAGTGTATTTTGGTGTGTTGTAAACGAATCTGACCTTCATTTTTGGCGGAAATTTTTAGTTTTTGCCTCCCCCGCCCATCAATAATGGGGGGAGAGCCTGAAAAATCGGATTTCTGGGTGGGGGAGAAAACGAAATAGAGTCATCTGACCTAACAAAACTTACTAACCTAACTCTTAGCCGGGGGTTACGCCCCCAGAACCCCGGTAGGCCTAACCTGACCCCTAACCGGGGGCAGTAAAAAAAAAATTAACGTGAAGATATCAATACCTCATTGGTCATGACTGGATGACGTCAGTGAGTTCTTTCATCTGTTGTGGTTAGGTTATGTCAGGTTAGGGAGGAACAATACAAGGCTAACTGTTTTAACCATCGCCAACTTTTAGGTTTCCATACTTGGAGTATTTCTAACCTCATTTCAACCAGGGGGCAAAGAATAATAACGTCAGAAATGAATTTTATTAAAGTTTTTCCATACTTTCCCCGGAAATAGAGGTCAAATTCGATTAAATCACAGGAAAAAATAATTTCTAAACTACTACGGCATATTGGCCGAAACTGTAATTTTACCGTCAATTAGGTGGTGGCAACTACTAATTATTTACAACAATACCAAACAATTTCAACTTTCAAATAGGTGGATGACCAAAACGATAATTTTACCCTATTAAGTTCCAATAAATATCACCTCTTTTAAAATACTTATTATAATGATAAGAACATTTGTGGAAAAATTAAGGCAATCAAACAACTCCTGGCAGCGGTCCGACTAATTACCCAAATGTAGCCACAATGGAGTCAAATAATGGTCCAACATGAATAAATCGGACTGCTAATCACTTCTCGATTATTATTTGTTGTCAGAAAGTCAAAAAAAATTGGAAAACTTACTTTAATCTGAGTTAATAGATCGCGTGCATGTACCGAGGGAGTGAGTAATTACCCAAATGTAGCCGCAATGAAGTCAAATGATGGTCGTACAAGCGTAAATCGGGCTGTGAATCATTTCTCCATTATTATTTGGTGTCATAAAGAAAAAAAAATTGGTAAACTTAATTTAATCTGAGTTGTGTTGGGTTGGGTTAGGTTAGGTTAGGTTAGGTACATGCACTTGATCTATTAACTCAGATTAAATTAAGTTTACCAATTTTTTGTGACTTTCTGACACCAAATACTAGTCGAGAAGTGATTGGCAGTCCAATTTATTCATCTAGGACCATTATTTGACTTCATTGCGGCTACATTTGGGTACATATGGGTACATTTGGGTACATTTGGGTAATTAGTCGGACCCCCTGGTAGTAGTGGTGTTCTCATGCCTTACCCGAATTCGTCTTCTTTACCTTTAACTACAGCAGTCACTCTTTAACTTACTTCAGTGTTTACAGTCTCTCCACGGACCTGCCAAGAGCTGTCAGTGCAGGGAAAATAAATAGGAGGACGCGCGTCTCCCATCAAGGAAAGTAGAGTAAGGAGGGTCAACTTTATCATTTGCACGTGTTTTTTTTCAGCGCCGCCTTTTGCTCCGCCATCTAGCGTTGATAAACATAACTAAGAAAGTATTCATAGAACACGAAAGATGCCGTTTAGTGGGTTAACTATACTAACCTTGACGTATTTATAATGTGGTGTTTATATATTTATATATTGATTTATACTTTACTTATTCATTCATGAAGAAAACCTAACCTCATTATCATTTGTAAAACGTCATTCATTCCAAAATGACTGAAATTACGGTCTCGAGTATTTTGTTCCTGGTTAGACGCATTTTTTTACAAGATCACTATTGTCGGATTGTAGAGGTATATAGTTAAATAAGAATGTTATAATGCACTTTATTAATTATAAAGTAACAATAAAAAGAAATACAGAAAGGGCTGATTCAACGTAACAATCTTATCCATGTTCCTAACCTATCATACGGGTAAGGCCATCATTCATCTTATATAAATTGTATTGTCAATGTGTACAAGTCATGTATTGCCAGTTAAGAAGCCACTTAAAATATTTATTTTATTGCTTTAACTGTAAATGATATATAAATAAAATGTTACTTTTTCCTGTGACTTTTTCCTAGCCAAAATTGTCACATTTTTCTCTTACTATTTTCCTGCGACTATTTCCGTTCACCACGCCACTAATCCGGAGAAATTTAATATTATTATTCAAACAAGAGATCAAGTTTCATAATCTTCCTCAAGCTGAGGCCATGATTCCTTTAAACATTAATGTAAACAGACTGTAGGAATTCGTAGTATAATGTTGTCTAGCACTCAGGATGGATGGAAACTCTAATGTGGTTTTCTTTTATAATATAAGTTATATGATAGACAGTCTGGTGCTGGAGGTGCCGTGTGGTGAGGAGCTGCTCAGTAGAGACGTTCGGTGAGTAGCGTGTTGAAGGAGGTAGATGTGCAGGAGCTTCGTTAGAGAAGATGTTGCCTGTTGCTGGCCTCCTGGTTGAATGAATGCTGACAGCGTGGAGCTTGCTGGAGGAGGTGTTGCTTGTTCAGGAAGATGGGCAGAATGAATCTCAATGGAGAGACAGAGCTTATATACCCAACAGCCGCGAGTCCTCTATGAGTCATGTTGGGAAAACCCGAGAAAGTCGCCGGTCTCTAGTTCCGTTGCTAGGTTACCGTAACATCTGCTGTCGTCGCTCGCTTGGTTGCTAGGATTCGGCGGCGCATCGGAATGCCGATACACAGTTGTAGGGGAGACGTCCACTACAAGACCTCAGAGAAGACATGGAGCCTAAGCCATGGTAAACTAGTAACTACACTTAACTCCTTTATCTTCATAACGTAATTATAATCTCACCAGTCTTTATCCTTTGGAAAGAGATGGAAGTTTAAATGACTGTGGCTCTTCTTGTCCTGTGTGGTACGTGTTATTGGTTCAACCTCAGGATGGGATGGAGGAAGGAAGCTCACAATGTGCTCTCTGTATACATGTTGTATTGGATGTACAATGCAGCTTGGTGCTGGGAAGGCAGCATGGTTACAAGCGTTGAGTAAAGAGAGCTGGTTGGTGAGGATGCTCAGAGGAGGACCAGCTTGTGGATCGCCATGGTCGCCGGCTGGAGCGGGAGCCGCCAGGTAGGAGCGGAGGAGGAGGTGTTGCTTGCTGGTGGCTGTAAGTAGAATGAGATAGGTCGCCACAATGTGAGGTCTTATATAACGGAGGTACGCGTGGCTTAATAGATGACCTCAGTCATGTAAGGCGGCGCCGGTTGCTGACCTAGACCACGAGGCATACACTGGGGAATTGGAGGGTCGGCTAGTCAGCGACAAACGGCGTTTGTAGGGGAGGAATCCACTACAGTACTCCCCCTTCCCTCCAGGCGGTCTAGGAGACTTGTTGTCTGCAGGGTTGCATCCCGCAGGTGAGGCAAAACGGGCGGTGCAGGAGACTTGTTGTCGGCAGGGTTGTATGCCACATGTGAGACATAACGGCGAGGGCGTGGATGAGCCGGCCGCTGGGGGAGACAACTTTGTCTAGACACACGAGATCTGTGGGATAAGAGAGGGAGAAGGAGGGTTGTGGAGGCGATGAATGTTGTGCTTCCCTCGCGGCAGGGACAGAGTCCTCAGATGCGCCTGCTGGGGTGTGTGGGTCTGGGTCAGGAGCAGGGGCTGCATCAGGAAGAGGGTCTATGACAGCAGCAGGGTGCATGACAGCAGCAGGGTCCACGACAGCAGCAGGGTGCAGGGCAGTAGCAGGGACTACCTGAGGGAAAAAAAAAAGGGTGTGTGGCGCCACCTCAGGCGCATGGGCCGCGTCGGGAGCAGGGGCTGCCAGGCAGGAGCGGAGGAGGGTCCGCGTCAGGAGGAGGATCCAGGACAGTGGCAGGGGGTACTGCTGGGCCGGGGGCGGCGTCTGAGGCAGGACGGGTGTGCTGGGGATGGTCGGACGTGGTGCTTGGGGCAGGAAGAGGAGCTGGTGTCTGCTTAGGGAAGCAGCGCTGCTCTAGGGTGTCTAACCTGCGGTGTAGAGACAGTAGTTGTAGAGTCGATGAGAGCTGCCTCTGTGTGGATAAGCCAGTCTTCCATGTTGCTTGAAGACTGGGAGAGTGATCGGTTTCTCCTCCATCCTGTGTGAGTGCGAATCTCTGGGGGTCACCATTTGTGGGGTACGTGTTATTGGTTCACACTCAGGATGATTTGGAGGAAGGAAACTCACAATGTGCTCTCTGTATACATGTTGTATTGGATGTACAATGCAGCTTGGTGCTGGGAAGGCAGCATGGTTATAAGCGTTGAGTAAAGAGAGCTGGTTGGTGAGGGTGCTCAGAGGAGGACCAGCTTGTGGGTCGCCATGGTCGCCGGCTGGAGCGGGAGCCGCCAGGTAGGAGCGGAGGAGGAGGTGTTGCTTGCTGGTGGGTGTAAGTAGAAAGAGATAGGTCGCCACAATGTGAGGTCTTATATAACGGAGGTAGGCGTGGCTTAATAGTTGACCTCAGTCATGTAAGGCGGCGCTGGTTGCTGACCTAGACCACGAGGCATACACTGGGGAATTGGAGGGTCGGCTAGTCAGCGACAAACGGCGTTTGTAGGGGAGGAATCCACTACAGTACTCCCTACTAACAACACAACCATGACAACCACGTGGAGCCATTTTCTGAAACTTTGGTTTTGTCAAACTGAAAGAATCATGAATGGCCAGCCAGATGACATCATAATATGAACAAAACACAGTCTTTGTTGCAGACGACTCACGCGACGGGAACACTATCTATCAGTGACCGATCAAACTAGTATGTGTCCAGTTAGTTATTTGATGTTATTTTTTGGCGGCACGCAAGTGTATTGGGAGTCGAGCTTCCTTACTCTACCTTCCTTGTTTCCCATACTTTACGTTGAGAACGATTTCTTTATATTTTGAGGGTAAACTATGAAAGAATAAAAAAAAACATTAGCGAAAACTGCTATATATACTGTATATATATATATATATATATATATATATATATATATATATATATATATATATATATATATATATATATATATATATATATATATATATATATATATATATATATAATATATATATATATATATATATATATATATATATATATATATATATATATATATATATATATATATATATATATATATATATATATATATGCAAGTAAATCACTGTAGGTGCGCGTGATCTAGGTATATGCTGATAACCACAGCATATATAGATTTATTTCTTGTACATTAATTATTATTGTACACAGGAACATAGATCCTGGGGGATACCTCCCCCTATGATCAAGTTGAAGGATTTTCTATAATCTTTTTCAAGAAACTCTGAGAGATAATTTTCTGTTCCGACATGTTAGAGACCCGACACATTACAGAGGTGGAGCAAACACCCAAGCCACTAGACCTCATCATAACAAACGAGGAGGGTATGGTGGCCAAACTGGAACACCTTGCCCCAGTTGGCACGAGTCACCATATAGTGTTGTCATTCGGATTTAACTGTTACCTAGTTCAAGATAAAGCCAGGCCAAGGTGCAAATATTACAAGGGAAATTACAACGGGATGACGGGTAACCACTGGCCTGACTCATTAAGGCACAAAAACACAGACAGTACGCTGAATACCATAACTAATAAAGTGACCCATTTGATCGATAAATATATACCCAAGACCAAACCCAGTGCATCTAGGAATACGAGGGGATCCCTACATATGAACCATGCGGCGGTCGACAAAGTTAAGAAGAAAAACCAGAAATTCAAGACGTGGGTTGGGTCAGACGATGAGCAGGACAGGAGGATGTATGCAAGAGTCAGAAACCAAGCAAAGGCAGAGTGTAGGAGGGCTGAAAAGGAGTTCCAGAGGCTGGTTGCAAGAGAGGTCAAGTCAAACCCAAAGGCGCTTTACCGCTATGCAAAGTCGAAATTAAAAACGCGAGTAGGAATATCAAACCTGAGGCTTGAAGATGGTAGTTACACAGATTCTGACCAGGATAAAGCTGAGGCATTAAACAGCTTTTCCTCGGTGTTCACAAGAGAGGATCCGATTAACCTTCCTGCATTTGAGGAGAGACGGTTCGACACAGCACTGACCCACATTGTGTTCACAGAAGAGGGCATTAGAAATAAACTGTCAAAGCTAAAGGTCCATAAGAGTCCCGGCCCTGACGTGGTGCATCCCAGAGTGCTAAGAGAGTTGTGCAACGAGCTTGCCGAGCCCCTGAAGATCCTGTTTTGTAAATGCTTGGATGAACAAAAGGTCCCCAGTGATTGGAAAGTGGCTTATGTGAGTCCTATCTTCAAGAAGGGCGATCGTCACTCCACGAACAACTATAGACCGGTGAGCCTGACCAGCATTATATGTAAAGTGCTTGAGAGTATTATCAGAGATACCAAGATGGAACGAAACAACCTTGTAAAGGACTGCCAACACGGTTTTATGCCGGGGCGCTCCTGCTTAACACAATTG